ATTCCGGGCTGCCAGGGGGTGGGGATGAGGTCAAGTCTCATTTTCCCTTTAGGATGTATAAGGACAAAACCAAATTAAAAATAAAAAAATAAGAGGCTTAACATTTCCTGTGGAAAATAAAGGAAGAGATTTCCCTCTCCTTTTCCTAAGAGCGTCACTGTAAAAATGTAATTGTAAGCCCTTTCATCTCTCTTTGAGGTGGGTAGAAATCCTTTTAAATACTAGATAGGCTCTTTGTCTTTAATACTCGGGAGCTGCCTTTTCGAAGACCTGGGAGCCACCTCTTTGAAAATTAACTATCACGGGGGGATAGCACCCCTCTCACCCAGTTTCCGTGGATGCCTGCCTCCAAGTTGCCTGTTTGAGGCTGATTCCCTAATTTTTTAAAAATGTTTTATTTATTTCTGAGAGAGAGAGGGAGAGACAGCATGAACAGGGGAGGGTCAGAGAGAGGGACACAGAGAATCTGAAACAGGCTCCGGGCTCTGAGCTAGCTGTCAGCACAGAGCCTGACGCGGGGCTCGAACCCACAAACTGTGAGATCATGACCTGAGCCGAAGTCAGACGCTTAACCGACTGAGCCACTCAGGCGCCCTGATTCCCTAATTTTTGTCCTCCTTCAATCTTCTCCCTTAACCATATAGAATGTCCCACTTCTAGTTACTCCACCTGCCAACAATCTCCAGTCAGAGCAAACCCGAAATCTCTTTCTTCCATTAGAAAGCTTCCCTACTCCCCTGTCTCCGCCAAACCTGAATGATGGCGTCTGACTCTTTTATCACAGCAAGCTCTAAATAAAGAGCCTGTTCTCATTCAGGTCTTCATTTCTTTCTAAACACTTAATGTATACGAACTCCTTTATCTGCCAAACCCCCACGAGATATGTATATATTATCAACCCCCATTTTATAGATATGAAAGCTAAGGCACAGAGAGGTTAAGTGACTTGCCTCATGTCACACAGGAGAGGACAGGATTCAAACCTAAGCCATCCGTTTCTACAATTTTTGGTCTTAACCATGGCATAACACTTAATGCAGTCTAGAACAACAGACTCTCACAGCCTAAACACCCCTTCCTCCATTCTCCATATGCCCTCAAACAACCTATCTGTATCCCCTGAAATTCCCACCGTTAAAACCTACCTGTCTTCTCTTTTATTTCTTTGGCACATTGTTCTCTGGTTTCTACAGTGACACTCAGCCTTATAAATAAATGTGTGCTGATATATTTATTCTCAGAGTACCTGTTGAACACTTTCTATGTACTCAGTATGCAGAATAAAAAGAGAAGGACATCAAATAATCTCTTCGATCGTTGGGTCAATGTCTTAATTGTTTCTGAATTGATTGATTCATTCAGTGAAAATTTATTGAGCATGTACTATGTGCCAGACACCACGTTAGACACTAAAAATTCCGAAAAGGAACAGAAAGAGGAAGCACAGTCTCTGCACACGGGTTGCTCCTGGCAGAGGAACCACGACATATACAGACAATCGCAAATCTGTGTGGCCAGAGCTATGGAAGCATGGAGGCCGGCAAGCCTATTCCAGCCTGGCATCTTGGGGGAGGCTTCCCAGAGGGGGTGACTACTCAAAAGAGTCTCAAAATACTTACGGAGGAGGAGTTTTCCCAGAGAAGAAGGGAGCCAAGGCACTGCAGGCAGAAGCACCAGTTGACACAAAAGCAAGGGTGTGGGACCGAGCAGGGAGTGGCTGGGGCGGGAGAGTGGCTGAGGATGGCTGGTGCGGTTTGAGGGGACACGTGAAAGATGGAATTATGAAGGCTTCCAGAGGCCACACACGCTGTCTCCGCTAGCTTATTCCCCACTCGCTCCATAGTGCGTGCCAAACTGTGTCTGTCCTCACCATTTTGTCAACACTACTATTTATTTGTTTGTTTGTTTGTTTGTTTTGAGAGAGAGAGAGAGAGAGTAAGCAGGGAAAAGGCAAAGAGAGGGGCGTGGACAGAAGATCTAAAGCGGGCTCCGCACTGACAGCAGCGAGCCCAATGTGGGACTCAAACTCACGAACCCTGAGATCATGACCTGAGCTGAATGAAGTCAGAGGTTCAACCGACTGAGCCACCCAGGTGGCCTGGGTCTTGCATTTTAAATATTGAGATAGAATTCTCATACCATACAGTGCACCCTTTTAAAGTGACAATAAAGTAGATCTTGGTATATTCACAAAGTTGTACAGCTATCAGCACTAATTCCAGAACATTTTTATCACTCCAAAAAGAAATCCTGTACCGGTTAGCAGTCGCTCTGCACTCCCCTTACCTCCAGCCCCTGGCAGCTGGCAATCTATTTTCTATGGGGCTCTGCCTATTCTGGATATTTCCTATCAGTGGAATCATACTGAATGCGGTCTTTTGTGCCTGCCTTCTTTCACGGACCATAATGTTTTCAAGGCCCATCCATGTTGGAGCCTGTATCAGCACATTATTTCTTTTAATGGCTGAATTATGTTCCATTGTATGGCTATATCACCTTTCGTTTATCCATTTATCAGTTGAGGGACATTTGGACACTTCCACTCTCGGGTTATTATGAATAGAGCTGCTATGAGCCTTTACAACACTACTTTTCAAAAGGTGGCCATGGCCTCCAGGTTGCTAAATCTTGTAGACAACTTCTCTGTTTCTTATATGACCACTCAAGGGCATCTGACACAGTTACCCAACTGTCCTTCTCAAAAGGGTCTCTTCCCTGGGTTTATGTTTCAGGCACATTTTTATCATTTTATTCCTACATTTCTGCCTAGTTCTTCTCTTTCTCCAACTCACTGTCGATATAAGCAATGAGGATTTGTGTTTCCTGTGTGAGTCAGATCCTCTCTCCCCCCTGCTGGAGACCATTCACTGGCTCTCCATTGCTCTGAGAATAGAACCCAAACTTTCCAATATGGCATCCGTGGTCTGCATGATCTGGGTCTGGTGTTCCCTCTGCTTCATACTCACTACTCACCATGCTCTGGTCACTGGGGTCGGGGGGGGGGGGGCAGTTTGGTTTGTTTGTGTTTTAGTTTCTCCCTCTCCCCAAACGTATTCTCACCTCAGGGCCTTTGCCTGTGGTGTCTACTGGAACACATTTCCTCCTGTGTTTTTCTGATGGTTCACTAACTTTTCATTCTTCAGGCCTCAACCTAAAAGTTTCACAGTCACAGAAAGGCCACTAACTCCCATATGGAGTACAAATACCTGCACTGGATATGCTTTAATTCAGCATGTTGTTTCCTCCTCAGCCTTTGTCTTAAGTATTTGCTTCTTGGTGTGCATGTGACTGACGGCATTTGTGTGTGTCAGTCTTTGACACTGGACAGTAAGCTCCATGCTGACAGAAACTATATTTGTTATTACTCATATTGTATTCCCAGGTCCTATCACTTAATAGATGTTCAATAAATATGTGTTGAATGAAATGAAAGAAATAAGTGACACAGAAGATAAGAGAGTCAACTAGGATCAAATGAAATAACAGAAGGCGTCTGAACATATTTGTCAAAGTCTAAAGGCCAAAAAAATGGAGTAAATGACTGTCATTATGTAACCATGCATACGCAATTACTGCCCATTACTTTATAGAAAGAGCAACTATGTCAAAAGACATGAATTTGCATTTGGGGACTTGGCAATCCCATTTCTCAATCTTGTGCTGCACTCTGGGAACTCCGACAGCGGGCAGGTAGCCTTCCATGTGGGGAGACATGCTGAGCTCCTCATGACTCCTCTACTTGAAGTAGTTTTCTATCCTCTTCATCAAGAAAAATGCCTTGTCATCATCCCTTGTTCTCGAAAAATTGATGCTCTGCTTGACCCTCGACATCCTCAGAGAGAATCAGATTCCCTCCTTCCTCTCCTTTTCTTCCCTGTGTCATATACCCTTTGACTACTTCATGCATGACAGGTTGTTGACACATCCATCCCTCTTGCTAGACTCGGAGCTGGTTGAACATAGCGGCCATGCTTCCTTCATTTCTGAACCCACCCATGCATCAATCAATTCATTGATTGAGCATCTATAATATGCTAAGCCATGAGGCCTAGAACAGAGTACAGAGGCGGCCATACAATAGACCCTCAAAGCGTACTTGGCCAGAGGGGGAAGAATGAGCCTGCCTCCAGCCTCATTCTCTTGACCCAACCTCACCAGTCAGAGGGGGTTCAACTGAGAATGGTAAGAAGAGAAAACCACCCAGAAAACACAATAAGACTAGATGCCATGAGTCAGGCCGGTAGTAGCCAAGTCAGATGCAAAGGGAATCCCTGCCTCATACTTACTCCGCCGCTAGAGCAGCGAGAGAAAGACAGGTGCGATCACCAGGGATCCAACCCAGGGGTGCTTTTGCCACTGAGCACAGGAGAAGAGGGGAGAACGTGTTCTTTCCAGGAGGAGGAGGCAGCACGGAAAGGGGTCACCAGGGCAGTCCCTTTTCTCAACCCCGCCCATCACGTGGGTCATCCACTCTCCCTTATGGAAAACCAAGAGCCTGCGAGAACTTCCTTCCCAATATCTGTGAATGGGTTGAGTCCCTGCAGCATGTGAGTATGGACTGGGCTGGCAATGCAGGGAAAGCGGAAATGGCTCTCCTTGCTGCCACCCTCTCAAGGGAATTTTTAAAGTCTGGATCACTCTTAAAATTGAGTCTCTGCATTTAAGGGTGAAGGGATGAGGTCATTCCATTAAAACTATACATTAGTCAAGACTTCATGCATAATTTCAAGAAATGTGGAAATAAAAAATAATGCCAGGAGCATACATTCAAGCCAAGAGGTTAGAAAACCACCCTGACATGGCTATTAAATCAAGGATGCTGAAATATACAAGCTTAATGCATTTATAGTTTTCAAAATTCTTGCTTCTCAGTGGAACCTTTGCCCTAAAGCACTCGGCCACTTCGAGGCACTCGAATTGAAGTTTACAAAATGACTCATTTACAGAGCATGATGGCCCCTGTCTGCCTCCCAAGCCCGTCTCCTACAGCTGCCACTTACTGTGAGTTGTTTGCTTTTAGCAAAAGGCCACCAGCCCCGCACGCGCTTTTGCTGGAATATGGAGATCTTGCTCTCCTCACTCGCATTTTCAAACTTGGCGAGATCACAGGCTTTGGCAGTCTTGGCTGCTCGGGGGAAACTGTTGAGGTTCATTTCCAGGGAGCCTGTGAAGAGATGCCCTTAACAGTTACAGAAGGGCTTTAGAGTCCATCACCAGCAATTGTTCACCCACACGTTCGTTCGTTCGTTCATTCATTCATTCATTCATTCATCCATTTACTCACTAGTCATTCAACCAGTACCACATGGGATCACTAGCATGCGCTAGGTTTTGGGGATGCAAATATGACCAAGACGTGTACCAAACGTGGTAGCAGGTAGTAGACAGGGTCAGAGCTACAATATATAACTTTTGAGCCTCAGTTTTGGATGCTGTCACTGCCGGACATCTTACCTCCTCCCTGAGTGCGTGGGGATTACGTTCCTATCCTCTGAGCTCTCCTCTGCCTTAGCGTGGATCTGCCTATAAGAACCTCCTTCCCCAGCTCACTTTCCTCTTTGAGTCCAGTAACCTCCTCCAGGTGGGGGACTAAGTCTTAACCGTCTTTGTAGCTACTATCTAAGACTTAATGGGCTCTCTCAAAGTATTTTCAATGAGTGAAAATTACGGAAGGTAAGACAGTGACACAAGAGTATTTTATCTCTCTCTCTCTTTAATAACCTTTTCCTATTACAGAAATAATATTTGTTAATTGTGAGCATTTACAGCATGTACATAAGCAAGAAAAAAATAGAAAACTTTCCTGTGATTCCATCCCCGCAAAGTTGACCACTGCTCATTAGCTCTTATTCTGGGAGAGTGATTGTTTCTTTGCCTGTCCCTGATTATCTCTTTCTCTGAAACATATAAACATATATTTTACAGAAAGAGGATTTTTTCTACACTCTTTTTTCACTTAGTGCATCCTGTATAACTTCCAACTCACTAAATGAATATTTTTAATGGCTGCAAGATTATCATTTATTGAGTGCTTATTATGTATGAGTTTTCAAATTATATTATCACATGTACAGCTCCAAACACTCTCTGAGGTATGTAGTATTACTATCCCCATTTTACAACTGGAGAAAACTGAGGTACAGAGGGGACTAGTGACTAGCTCAAAATGTAACAGCTTCTTAGTGGTAGAGAAAAGATGATTTTAAGTCTGTTTGAAAATGTGTCCTCTGGGGCACCTGGGTGGCTCAGTCAGTTAAGTGTCTGACTTCAGCTCAGGTCAGGATCTCAAGGTTTGTGAGTCTGAGCCCCATGTTGGGCTCTGTGCTGACAGCTCAGAGCCTGGAACCTGCTTCAGATTCTGTGTCTCCCTCTCTATCTGTCCCTCCCCCACTTGTGCTCGCTCTCTCTCTCTCAAAAATAAAATAAAATAAAATAAAATAAAATAAAATAAAATAAAATAAAATAAAATAAAAATAAATTAAATAAATAAATAAATAAATAAATAAAAGATGTATCTTCTACCATAAGGATGCACTGTAACTTATCCAGCCAGTCCCCTAGGAATGGCTATTTGGAGTGTTTCTAAATTTTCTGTTATTGTAAATTGCACTGAAATTATCTTTGTAGCTAAATCAGACCAAACTCTCCCAAAACTGGGACAAAATCCTTAACATTAATGTGAGCTTTACGAAACCACCCGCTTACCCAGAAAGTCATCTGAGGACAGCGTTTCAAAATCCCAAACCTGAAGCACCAACACGGCTGGTGTCTTACACTCCATCTTCTCTAAGGAAAAGATGTTTTCCCTCTTAGTAATAACCATTTGCTTCTCAGCTGGGAGGTACTGAAATGGAAACAGGAAGCGCCAGTTGAAATTCCCCTCGCCAGTCAAGGAGTTGTAATGCACGTCTGTCTCCTGCCTGTCATCTTCCAAACACTTTATCCACCTGAATGAAGACAGAAAAAGAATTACAGACTCTGCGTACATTTATTCAGGCATCAGTATAATCAAGAGTGATTCAACTAGTTTCAATGTGGTCACAGATCATAGTTTTTAAATGATATAGTTAGACTCAGATGGAAGTTTCCATTGAATCTGAAAGAAATAAATAGCAGTCAAAGGGACTGAGGCAGAAACAAGATTCTCATTGTAAGCTAGATTTGGGAAATGACTTCATTGCTCTGGGATAGCCCTGAAGCCCCATGCAATAAAGAAGGAAAACTCAGGGGCCCCTGGGTGGCTCAGCTGGCTGAGCGTCTGACTTCGGCTCAGGTCATGATCTCACGGTTCGTGGGTTTGAGCCCTACGTCGGGCTCTGTGCTGACAGCTCAGAGCCTGGAGCCTGTCTTCAGATTCTGTGTCTCCCTCTTTCTCTGACCCTCCCCTGCTCATGCTGTCTCTTTGTCTCAAAACTAAATAAAACATTTAAAAATTCTTTTAAAAGAGTATGACTCTTAGTTTCGGCTCAGGTCATGATCTCCTGGTTAATGAATTTGAGCCCCACATTGGGCTCTGTGCTGACAGTGTGGAGCCTGCTTGAGATTTTTTCTCTCCCTGTCCCTTGCCCCCTCTCAAAATAAATAAATAAACATTTTTTTCAAAAAAGAGGGAAAACTCAGGAAATGTGAAGGGCAAGTGTAATCTGAGTTTCCTTTCCCTCTGGGGACTATTACTGAGGGAACCACCTCGGCACCCATTGCCCTGGGGCCTCTATAATTGGCCTGGTTTAGACTTGTGGTATCAGGCCTATGATTGGTCCCCTCCTCTCTGGTTCTGAGCCTCAAAAACCCAGAGGCCTGTATCAGTGTGGCAGGGAGAGTAGCAGCCTGTCTGCACCCATCTGGATTCTAATCCTGGCTCTGCCATTACTCCCTGGGAAGTCATGGATAAATGATCTAACCTCCATGTGCCTCTATTTCTTTCTTTTTTTTTTTTTTTTAATATTTTTATTTATTTCTAGAGAGAGAGAGGCAGCACAAGCAGGGGAGGGTCAGAGAGAGAGGGAGACACAGACTCCGAAATAGGCTCCAGGCTGTGAACTGGCAGTCAGCACAGAGCCTGACGCGGGGCTCAAACCCACGAACCGTGAGATCATGACCTAAGCGAAAGTCGGACGCTTAACCGACTAAGCCACCCAGGCGCCCCCATGTGCCTCTACTTCATCTGGAAAGTGGAAGCAATTACAGTACCTAGTTCACAGGTTGCTCCGAAGAATTATAAGTGCTTTGTGTCCTCCAAATTTTATTAAATGATATTTTCTCTTAGTATCATCTGATCTTTCTCCTCCATCCTCTGTATAGAGTAAGCTACCATTAATACATTATCCCCTAGTACTTTATCCATGGTGAATTATTGAGAAAATAGGTGCTTTTAATTCAAGCTAATTGATAATTCCAAGCAATTTACTTTCTGAAAGCAGACATCCCTTCCCCACAAGTCAGGGAAAGATAAAGTACTTCTACATCCTAGAGGAGTGGAACCACTCAGAGTGTGGATGCAATTACTTAGGTAAAGATGGTGCTCCCTCCACCAAGCCATATGTGATATCCATTAGGAGGCAAGGAGCGTGTTAGTTGTTAGAGGAGTGATGGTAGCACACAGAGATGGTCTTTGCCTTCATGGAGCTATAGCCTTAGAGGGAAGGGGATGGAGGGATGGGGGGTGGCAGCAGTCACTACTGAGAGATGTCAAAGACCCTGTGGTGGCACATCATAACAAGGGAAAGAAGCTCAACATGACTAGAGAGCAGAAAGCAAGATGGGGCTGGAGACATAGGAGGGGCTAGTCATACAGGATATTTTAGGACATATTAGGGATCTGAATCTTTATCCAGAGAAAATAGAATATCATTAAAGATTTAAAGTATAAGGTTGACTTGATCAGATTATGGCTTGAAAACATAACCCATGTTTCAACATAGAGAGCAAGTTATTAGAGTCAAGAGTGAATACGGAGAGACCAAGCCACATGGTACTGGTACTTCAGTGGCCCCAGCAAGAAATGATGGAGAGAAATACCATGGCTGTGGTGTGGTGAAGACGGGGAGAATGGACAGTGCCAATAACTATTTGGGAAGGACAATGGGCAGGATTCAATGGCATACTAGAAATGGAGTCAATGAACAACACTGTTTCTTGTTTGGGGAAGGCAAAGAGATACCAGAATGAGGTGAGATGAGTTCACTACTTCTGAGATGGGTTTTATCCAAGGGGACATGTTTGAATCACTTTACTGCCTCACTTCCCTCCATGATTAAGGGCTCAAAGGAAGCCTACCAATGTGTTTGCGTCATAGGCAACATGAGAGAGGGGTTGGGGGGAGGGAGGGAAAGAAAGAGAGGGAAAATGTGGTTTCCTGAGTTCCAGGTTGGCATCTTTCCTTTCAGGAGAACTACTGAAGAGTAAGGTATGACTGTTAGCTTCTGTATTAGTCTTAACAAGGTTCTTAATACTGAATCTCTCATCAATTGTGCAACATCTCTCTACTTGGTTCAGGTGGAAAGGTATTATGAATGTCGCTCCAAAAGCTTAGGTATCCAACATTTAACTGAAAGAGATATTTCTATAATAAGATTTCCTCCCCAAAACATTTGTATAAGATAATAACTCTTAGCAAAGTGACCAAATAATATTTGACAAAGGAAGTGACCTTATCTAAGAAGGTAAGATGGACTCCTTTTGTGGGAGGTAAGTGGAGAATCTTTCGGAAGGCATAGGTTCAGTTAGAGGTTAAAGGAGGAAGGAGGGGAAGAAAAGGGAACATGGAGTTTGTTGACGACCTTACCCTTTAACATAAATATCGCTTGACTTTTGTCCTGTGAAGATATTCTCATCCTCTAAAATGACATCTTCAGTGTTCCAGATGGTCACTCTCAATTCATACCTGAGATAAGGGAAGGCAGCATTAGGCTAAAGACCTTGAAAGCTGAGTCAGCTGGTGTCTATGGGATTCTGGGATTCCGGTGAGTCTATAGGCTTCCCCAACATTACCAAGTTCAAAAATATCGACACTTATGGTCTTAGTTCCATCAAAACCAAGTGTTCCAGCTTGAATTACCAAGAACATAAAGTTCTCTGAGCAGAAATCCCTTCCATTAGCTGATGTTTTTCAGAATGTTACAAAATATTGAAGCTCAGTAGCCCCTACACAAAACAGGGTCTATCATTTCAATCATCACCACTATTACCATTACTGTCACTTGCCCCTGCTGTAAATGGCCAGATGGAAATGAGATATGATTATCAAGTGCTTATTTATCAATGTAACTGATGTTACAATGCAAGAATCAACATCATTGAACAAATGTCATGATCTTTAATCTGCTACCATGGTCTCTTTCCCTGAAGGTACGGCTGCAGATGACTTACCCTTTCGGCTGCCTTGGCGAAATGTCAACTGGAGGTCCAGGTTGAGGCATATCTTTGGGAAACATGTCCACCCACATCTGCAGGCGGCCCTTTTTAAGAAAAGATCTCCTTTAACTCTGGTGGGGGTATCACATGGGCAACTGACTTCATGGTTTTAACAGTTCCCTTTACTAGAAATGGATATTAGCTACATATCATATCTTATCATATCATATGGATATTATTCCTATTATACATGTTTAGAATATTTGTTGACAAAGACAGAACTTACATTTTTATTAAGAATTAGAGCATATGTTAAGAAGCAGATAAAGGACAAGCTAACCCTTATTGAGCACCTACGATGTGGTAGACACAGTGCTATGTACGTGATAAACATAGCAATTCTCCCAATATCCCCAGTGGGTAGATGTTATTATTCCTACTTGGCAGATGAGAAAACATCTTGCCCAAACTTCCACAGACAATATGTAGCAGAGTCTGGATTCAACCTTTGTCTGTGGATTCCAGAGATCCTGTTTTTTCTATAAACTCCTAAGGATTAAAAAGATAATACTATCTGTCAGAAGTATCATGCTCCATTGTTTCCAATGTATCTTACCATCATTATCTCCATTACTGCTTACCCCTGCCACATTGTCTGTGTTATACACTAAACAACAACAACTAAGACTCAGAGAAGTCAAAGAAATGATATGAATCCTGTGGCTAATGAGTGGCAGAATAAGGCCTCCCATGCCTTGCTTGGACTCCATACATCAGAATTTACCCTGTTGCAAGGGATCTGAGAGCCCATGTGGGGAGAAGGTGCAGTGGATTCAGTGCTCAGCTCCGTTGTATACATTCTAAGTACTCCATTAGCTCAGGCAAGAAGGTGAGTGACCAGCAGGGACTGGGATGGTCAGGGGAGATTTTATAAGAAGGAAGCAGGGGAGGGAGGGAGGGAGGGAGGGAGGGAGGGAGGGAGGAAGGAAGGAAGGAAGGAAGGAAGGAAGGAAGGAAGGAAGGGTGTTTCTGACAGAGCAGGGAGGATTTGTAGGATTTAGGTGAAGGAGGGGCTTTGGCTAGAAAAGAAAAGAGCTTTCCTGGGGAAGGGACAATGTCAACAAAGAGCTAGGATTTGGGAAGAGAGGGGCCAACTAATGACAGATCACAATCCTAAAGAGATATTAACATTCACTTGTAACCAAAAAGCCACATAGCAAAATGAAACACGCCAGTAACCAAAAGATTTTAAATATCTGGCAGCAAATTTCAGGAAACAGTCATAGGCTTCCCTTTCGAGGCGCTCTCCCACACGTGCTGTCACCAGTGTTACAGCCCAGCGCCGCTGAAATAGCTGTGTGGGTGTTCCTGCTCAACTAGAGTTAAGCTCCTGGGTTTTGCCCAAGTGACACGGTGAGTGAGTCCAGGGCTGGGATAGGTCTACAACTCAAACTGCCTGGGTAAAACCCCGGCTCTACTACTTAGCTGCTGATTAACTTTGAGCAAGTTGCTTAAACTCTCTGAGCCTCACTGTCTTCATCTTAAAATTAAGGATCATAATAAGGACATCATGAGGCTGTACTAAAGAGTAAGAATACGGTGGCCTACATACCCCTATTTGTCTAGGAAAACCCTGGTGGTGTTCTTTATACCAGCTTAGTTATTAACAGTGGCCTCTTACACTCTGAAAATGGTCATCACTTGAATAAAACAACTCTATGGTCATCCTAATTAGGTGAGATTTTATGTAAAGGACCTAGTACATAAGTACATATTAATTATGTACCTATAATTAATAAGTACACATTAAGAAGGCTGTTAATAAAATTGATCTTCTCTTCCCTTCTAACTCAGATCTCTGGTTATTTTTCTTCACACAGTTTCCTCTTGCCAGTTCTTCAAAATGAGACACCAGCTGTTGCTTCTCTGGAAAACTAGTGAACTGTGTAGTTACTGATAGATTCTGGACAGTCTTGGGTATATAAGATGGGTTTTGGTTTCTCAAATATCAGCATTCTTTCTGAAGAGTTTGATAACTCAAATCCATTAAAAAGGCAAAAAGCACTAAATCCAACTCTGGCTTCAGGGCAGAACTTCTCAACCTCAACATTATTGACATTTGGGGCTGAATAATTCTTTGTTGTGGAAGCTGTCCGTGCACTATGGGATGTCTGGTCGCATCTCTGACCTCTACCCGCTAGAGGCCAGCAGTACCCCCACCCACACAAGACAACCAAAAATATTCCCAGACATTGCTAAATGTTTGGGGCAGGGAGGCAAAATTGTCCCTGGTTGGGAACCATTATTCTAGGGCACATTAGATTAACTTTTAGGGATGAAGTCCTATTCCTTGGGGATGAACACTCCAATTGGGGCCAGAATTCTCTTGGCCACTACCTGCTCCATTCCTGGCTTATCCTTGTGGTACAGCGGCCGAGTTTCTATGTGCTCAGGAACCAGCCTACACCCAACCTCTGGTATATCCTCCCAAGAGTGTAAAACCCTAAGGGCCAGGTGCTCATAAGATTCCACCGTCTCATCTGCATGGAAAAAAAGAATAATAAAGATAGTTATCAGATATACGTTCTTGTAATGGAACAGTGATGGGCTGTCAGGCGCACTTGTAAACGCTTTCCTAAAGGTTAAATAAATATACTGAGGCACAGGGAGAGGGCAAAACAGCAAAAAGACAAAAAGGACAAAGAGAGAACTGAGAGAGGTAGGGGTAGAGTGAAGGGAAGGGAAAGAGACCAGAGGTTTAGAGAATGGGAAGTGAGATGAGTCGGCAAAATTGGAGAGCAGTCAAGGTCTCAGAGTCGGGGGCTCCATTTGCACCTTTAATTAGATTTCTCTAGAGCCTATGACCTACAGGCTTGGCTTCAAGATACTGGAAAGAGTATGTTTCCTGGAGATTTAAGGTTGTTTGCTAAGGCCATAGTGTGAGAGGGCCTGGTGAATCAGGGTGGCCCTGAACAAGGTGGTGAAATCCACACACTATGTGTTCGTGGAGGCCTTGTCTTTCCTACTTGCTGCTCCTTCCTGCCAACACACCTGCTCATAGGAAAGGTTCTCTGATCTGTCAATAAAGGCAATACAATATAAAAACTACTGGTAGAAAAAATATTTACAAAAATTGTTGAAAAAATCAAAAATTTTTGATAAAGTTTAGTGTGGTTTAATTTGACATCTGGAAGTTAAGCTTGGTTTTAGAAAAAGGCCACACAGACACACACAGCTCTCATAATAGCAATCATTACAATCAGTAAAAGTTCATAGCGATGAACACATAGTCAATGAACCAAATCTTGTCATAAAGTTTAATCAGCCGAGTACAGACTTGATGGACATCATTTCAGAGTTTTGGTGGGCAAAAACATGGTTTCATCATGAAATGTAGAATATGGACCAAGGACAGAAATTGACTTTAATACAGAATATTGTGAAAAAATATTTTTCTCAACAAAAACTCATTAATATGTCATTAATACACTATCCAAATGTCAAGTACTCTGAGTGCAAAAGCCTTCAAGAGGTTCTTGGAGTAAAATAACAAGGTGAAAAGAAATGTTGGCATCAAAGTGGAGGGATCAACATAACAGTGTGAAAACACCTGGTAATATGCCCTTAACTGGGTTCTCTGCATTGGATGCTCTGAAGCTAGGGTTTGCACATATGTAGCTCAACTTCTATGAATTCGCATCAAATGGACTGAAATGGCATTACAAGAATTGTTCTGCATCATTAAAGTAAAGTAAAGGTGGCTTTTCTTTTCTCATCCAAAATTTAAGAAAGCCTCTCTAGGATCTTCTTGGTATGTTCCACGATGTTGTATGGAAAATCTGCTTCATCGTACCAAAATAAGAGAGTTGTTGGTATAGTATGTGTGAGGGTAATTTGGGTTGTGTCCAATTATTTATTTTATATAAGAATTATTTTGAGGTTACTGCCTACCTTCCAACACAACACTCCTGTTTATGTGATACGTGCTGTAAAAATATCAGAAGTGTGCAAAAATATGTATGAGGAAGTTCATGGTAGCACTGTCCAAAAAAAAAAAAGTGGACACAATGTAAATAAAGGACACAACCATAAAATGAAATATTATAAATAATAGTTCAAAGAACAAAGAAAAATCATCACAATACCAGCATGCAGCATGCTTGTTTCTGAATTTGAAGATTGTGAGTGATTTTCTACCATGAACATGCATTTACTTTACAATAGAGGACGGCTGTCCCCAGCCAGAAATACTACCAGAAGCAGTCTTTTCTTTCTTTCTAAAAAAAATTTTTTTTTTAATATTTACTTATTTTTGAGAGATAGAGAGAGAGCAAGTGGGAGAGGGCCAGAGAGAGAGGGAGACACAGAATCCAAAGTAGGCTCCAGGCTCAGAGCTGTTAGTTAGTATAGAGCCTGACACGGGGCTTGAACTCACTGACCATGAGATCATGACCTGAGCTGAATTCAGATGCTTACCCGACTGCGCCACCCAGGAGCCCCAGAAGCTGGCTTTTCAAAAGAAGAACAACATCAGCAGGCTACACTGTGGGAGTTACCTGTGTCCTTCTCTGTGAAGACTGTTCTTCCAGAAAAGACCTGATTTCCTATCTGTATTTTCCCAGGGCGAAAGTAGGGTCCATCCAGTTTATTGTCTTTACAGAGCTTTGTGAGGATCTCGGTAGGTTTGGATGTGTCTCTCCAGGCATTGTATCCTTCTCTGAAAAAAGGAGGAAGGATGGGTAAGGTGAGGCCTGCCTTCTCCTAGGAGGATACACTCAAGGTATCTAGTAAAAGGACCTGGTGGCTTCCTTCAGATGTCTTGCCATTCTCTACACTTGGGACTAATGTGTTTTGTTTTGCTGTCTCTCTTTTCTGGTCAACACCTCTGCAACTACGTGCTTGACATAAAAGTCCTTTGAAGGTAGTTCTTGTTTTTGTTTTGTTTTGTTTTGTTTTTGTCTTGTTTTGTTTTGTTTTAAGCAATGTACCTTAGAAAATTTTGAAGCGAAATTCACATAGTATAAAATTGATCAATTCAGTGGCATGCAGTACATTCATAATGTTGTGCAACCACGGTCTAGTTCCAAAAACTATTCATCCCTCAAAAGAACACCTGTACCCATTAAGTGGTTGTTCCTTAATCCCTGCCCCTCTTGGCCTTTGGCAGCTAGCCGTCTGCTCTCTGTCCCTATGGATTTCTTTGCATGCAGTTCTTCTTTTGTCCTGTCCCTTGCCTAAGTGCCATTTGACTACTTCTAAGAGGAAAGCCTAGCTCATCCTTTCAATTTCTCTGCTCTTTTCTCCCCTTCCCACCTCACTGAAATCATAGTGGAGACTCATGTCACAGGTAGCGATTCTAGATGTGCTGTTTCTCAAATCAGGGATTTTCCTGGTGGTTAGTTTCTAAATCTTTCCAACCCCTTCTTCCCTTAAACACCAGCTGTTTGGTTAAAAAATATTAACTCACAATGAAATGCTCCCTGTGACCCATGACCAAGACAAGCTTGGATTTCTCTGCTCACTGGGACACAGGATCCATCAGAATGTAACTTAAGTTTTTAAATAAATCAAAACATAACCATAAAGCAGTTTTCCTACCGTGCCAGACACATGAGGATCCTGAAAAGTTCACCCAAGCCATGCCCAGAGCCATACATTCATAGGCTCCCCAGAAACACGTGCTCATTTTTGTTTTTGCTTTGGGGTGTTTTGGGGGATGCTCTCATCTATTTATTTTAAGTTTATTTGTTCTGAGAAAGAAAGCATGTGCATAAGTGGGGGAGGGGAGGAGAGAGGGAGAGAAAGAATCCTAAGCAGGCTCCACGCTGTCAGTACAGAGTCCCATGTGGGGCTCAAACCCTCAAACCGTGAGATCATGACTTGAGCTGAAATCAAGAGTCAGATGTTCAACCGACTGAGCCACCCAGGCGCCTCTATTTTTAAAAATGTACCAAACAAAGGTTATGCTCCCTGGTAGCCCCACCATCAGGAAATTCTACGGAACAGAAGATACACCACGCTTGCCTGTGGCTTCCTCCCTTGACTTCAGAGTGAGAAGAGCCAACCATTCTCTGAAAGGCACCTTCTCGGGTACTTCGGATGTGTAAACACCCCAGGGCGGCTTATACATTCACCAGAGTCTCCGAAAGGAACTGGATTTGTGGGCTATCAAAATAACGATTTCAAAAAATATTTAATGACACTACAGAATGCTCATATGAGTAGGTGACAACAAGCAGCTTACAAAATGACATGGATAGAGAGAGCATGAGGCCAACTTTGGGGGAAAATAGTGCAGGAAAAATCCTAAAAGGAAATACTTAAGAATTTTTTTTAATAGAAGTTATGTCTGGGTGGTACAATTTGAGCATTATTCTGTACTTCCTCAATTTTCTCCAATGAATACATATTATTTCACATTCAAGAAAAATGTTTCTAAAATTACACCATGGAAATCTAATGAACGTTTTTATATTTTCCTGGCTGACGTTCGTAAGATTTTTATTTTTTCTTAAGACATCAGATAAAACACACTTAAAGAAATATAGAGCTGGTAGTCTATATTTTGAAATGAAGCAGAATTCAAAATCAATGTAAAGAGTAAGAGCTGGGTCCACTCCTCCCTCTTTGTAAGGTGTGGATAACAACTCCTGGGTTTGAGAGAACTGAGTGAGGTGCAGCGTCTCGTATATCCTAAGCACTCAGGAGTGTTCATCATAATTCAATGGGATATGGGTATCTGTATTCTGTTAATAATTCTTCTAACATCATTCTTCACCGCTAGGCCCAGCCAACTGAGTGAACATGTATAATTCAGCTCTTGACTCTTGAAGACCCCGCCCTGGATTCTAAATCAGCACTACCTCCCCAGCCCCAACCCTGGAGTACAGTGAACAATTTCCCCAAGCAGCCCTGCTGACATGGAACCCCTCTGAGACAGTCAAGCTGAGCCTCAACTGGCCTTCCCCGTAATGGCGGTGTGAAAGCATGGCGGTGTGAAAGCATGGCGGTGTGAAAGCATGGCGGTGTGAGGCGCAGCAGCTGAGCACCAGCAGTGCCCACCCCTACCCACCTCCCAGCTCCCTGCAGGAGGAACTTACATCTCGTACTGGCTCTGCAAGCCACAGATGGCTCGGTGTCTGCTGTAGAAGCGGTTCTCCAGGTCGATCCGGGTCTCACCAATGAGGTCATCTGTCCCAATCATGTCATGGTCATAGATAAGGATGGAGAGCAGGGACTCCTTTGGGAACGTGGCCTGGATCTCAAATGACCTGTGGTCCAAGTAAAGGCATTAGGAGTCAACAGCATCTAGCAACACAGGGAAGGTCTGCCAGCTCTGCTTTTAGCTAGCCTGTGGTTCATAACTCATACTCAGCAACTCAGTGAATGGTTAGCAGGTACTTATTTGGTTTAGTGTTTCATTGAGATTCAATCAATTTCCAATTCTGCTGTCAATTTCCAGTAGCCCATAGTCTCCCCTTCCATGGGCTGTGTCCTACAGTCTTCATCCAGGATGACAGCAAGATGGGCGTGAAAAACTTAAGGGTTTGCACTTGACCAGAAATGGCTTCCAATTCTGTTTCTTTTTCTTTTTCTTTCTTTTTTTAAAGTAGGCTCTATGCCCAGTGAGGAGCCCATCATAGGGCTTAAACTCACAACCCCGAGATCAAGACCCAAACTGGGATCAAGAGTTGGGAGCTCAACCGATTGAGCCACCCAGATGCCCCCTGACTTCTAATTCTGGATTTGAGTCTGCACCTTCCCGGGTTTAAAACTTTGGACAAGTTATTTCATCCCTCTCAGCCTCCTTATGTGTAAATAGGGATCAGTATGTCTTCAATGATTTAATGGCCATTAAATGTTATATTGTTTACACAAAGCACACATTTAGTTTCCAGGTATTCAACTGGTCCCCAGTAATTATCATTCCCTGTCCCCTCCACTGTTGCTTCATCAGGGAACGTCATCGGAGTTTGTTTTAAATGAAAATCTCTTTGAAGATGGAAAATCCTAGAAACAGAATTACAAAACTGCAAAGCCATCTCTGGAAAATTCTGAGCCCCTTGACAACAGACAGCTATCTCCTTCATCTCTGCATTGCTGAAGCCCTCACTTTACCTGCAGAGAGCACACAACTGAATATTCCTCAGAACTGAAAGGGGTCTCAGGAATCACCATATCCAGTCCCTTCGTTTTACAGACAAGGAAACTGAAATCCAGAGAACATAAGTGACTTCCTGCACTAGACCATAAGTCAGGTCAAACTAGGATCCGTGCCAGTTGCCTGACCCCCCAGCTCTGAGCTCATTCCCTGATACCACACCAAGGCAAGGTACCGAAAGGAAAAACAGTGTTGTGGGATTTCCTGGGACAATGTGTTATCCGTGCTGCTGAGCATTAGAGGAGATAATTAAGAAATAGGTTTTGAGTGAATATAGGGAAGTGTCTTCTTGAAAGCACAATCAAGGACGCACCAGCGTTCTCTGGCTGTTCCCAATTCTGGCTGCCCTGCGACAGGTGGGGTGGGCTGGTCTGTGAGTGAGTGGCCAAGACGAGAAGGGGAGGAAGGGACAACGGAAGGCCTCGTTATTTCCTTCCATGTCCGCTGGCCTGTCTGGGCTGCTGCCCTTGCGGTCAGACCCACTTAGCCCTGGCTCTCCCTCTCCAGTGTGGCAGCCCCTCCAGTCCCTGAGCCAATTAACACTCCTCCGAGAGAAAGAAGCAAAGATACCACAGCTGCACTCACTGTAACTGACTGAGGCAGGTCTACAGACAGGGCTGTGCGGGGAAGAAACCCACGTGTCTTCCACTGGAAGGCAAGCATTGCCCGGGGCCCCAAGATGTTGATTCCAAACTGTACCTGATATTCTGGACATGTCTCACCAGGAAGCCTCCAGCCACCATCTCTGAGGCTGGCTGTCACACAGCTGCTACCAGCGAGGAAGCCTTGTCAAGTGCTTAACTACCTTGGCAACCATGACAGAAGACTCAGTTGCTTTGGTCCGTCTTCCCAAGTGGAGTGTTCGTTCACAGATTAACCTCTCCTGACTTTTCTATGGAGCTGTCATTAAAAGAACTACCCAGAACACCTCACCATGGTCGGACTTCCAGTCACCAGGGGAAAAATTAGGCTTACCAACTTGTGTGTCAATAAGATACTGCCTCTGAACACAATGGTGTTGAGAACAGAGGAGGCACTGGGGCACCTGGCTGACTCAGTCAGAAGAGCGTGTGACTCTTAATCTCAGGGTTGTGAGTTTGAGACCCACGTAGGGTATAGAAATTACTCAAAAAGAGACAGAGAGAGAAGGAAAGCATCATGAAATGGGTAAAAGCTGAGCCTTATTGAAACATTTCAGTACCTCTAAGCTTCAGAGGAAAGATGTCGCATTCATCCATTCTTTTATGTATTCGTTTGTTCATTTGACATTTATTATACACTCACTGTGTGCCAGGCAGTATTAGTTAAGAAGATGAGGAAATACCGAAGTCTGTGGATATGTACCACCTCAGGGTGACGCAGAGTGGCGGGGCCCATTAAATCTGACTGGAAACTGAAGGCTTGTCCATCCATCTGTTCTTTCTTTCTTTTCTTTCTTTCTTTCTTTCTTTCTTTCTTTCTTTCTTTCTTTCTTTCTTTCTTTCTTTCTTCCTTCCTTCCTTCCTTCCTTCCTTCCTTCCTTCCTTCCTTCCTTCCTTCCTTCCTTCCTTCCTTCCTTCCTTCCTTTCTTTCTTTCTTTCTTTCTTTCTTTCTTTCTTTCTTTCTTTCTTTCTTTTCTTTCCTTCTTTCTACCAATACCTGTTGAGCATCTATGTGCTCTGTTGTAGGTCCTGGGGACACAGCATTGAACAGACTAGACCAAGACCTGCTCAAATGAGCTTACCCTCCCGTGGGGAGATGAGCAACAGCCAATAAACACAGAACATATCAATTCATGAGGGAAAGGAAGGCAGGCAAAGTGCCAGGGGCATCAGGGGGTAAAGCCTGTGACATCCTCATTCAGGGAGGTCACAAAGAGGGTCAGGAACAGGGACCCTCTACCTTACCTGCTGGAAGACACAGGACTGAGCCAGCAAATCCTGTCCCTGAGTAACAGTGAGAAACGCATCCAACAAAGCATCTACATGTGGAGAGCTTCCAGAAGTGGCACCACAGTGCCAGAGGCTGGAGGGAATATTCTATCAGCCTCTTCTTTTGTTTACCACAGCCATAAACAGGGCTCATAAAACCAGCTTAATTCATGGCCCTGAAGTAGCTAATAAAAAGTGACTACAAAAGATCTGGCAAAATGAAGTGCTGGTTACAGAAAGGGAAGGTAATAATAAAGGTCATCTCTGCATCAGGGAAGCAAGGGCAAGCTTCCCTGGCACGACTGTTCTACTCATTTTCATTCATCGGAACAGGCAAGATCATTTATTGCTTCATTTCCTCCAGAGCAATAAAGTGTTAAGAGGTTGGTTCTGATCAAATGTCAGAGGGCCCACCGTGATCATGAAAGTGTGAATGAACTTAAATGAGGCTGATGGAGAGTTCATCTCACGCTCCTTGTTTTGCAAGAAAAAAAAAAAGAAATTGAATACAGTTAAGATGTATCCTTGCTAAAATGATTAGCACGGGGGAGAGGAAGGAAGCAAATGTTTTTTGAGCATCAGCTATGCGTTAGTGTGGACAATGTGGTGTGTATTTAATCGTTTAAAGGCCACTGGGAGTCAAGTGTCATTATTATTGTTTGATCGAAAAACTGGGATCAGAGAAGGAAAGTCACCTGCATAAAGTTACACAGCCTATATGTGGCAGAATGTAAACCACATCTACCTGACTCCAAGGTTAAGAGCAAGCAGGTCCGCAAACAGAAACATGCGCCACACCGTGTCAGAAGATAAATGGGGCCAGTAGGGTTGCTGTGGACTGGAGGATGCCTTATTCACCTGAACATGCACACACGCAATGCCTGTTGCAACACTTCGCAGGAAAGCAAAACACAAGCAGAGGACACGGTTCGATTGGTTTACTTCAGGGGTCACCTCAAATGAGCTGCAAAATGATAGGATGGAAAAATCCCTTTGATAGGAGATAAAAGACCAAAGGCGTGACCCCCTTCTCCTCTACTCATGAGCTGTGTGAACTTGAATTAGTTTCTAAATCTCTCTGGGCTGTACTTGTCTTGTTTGTAAAAAGGAAATCTCTCTGTCCAAAGGAAGGAGGCTGAATCTGATGACCATTCAAGGTGTCTCTTAAATTTGAGATCTAGGAAAGTCATTCTTGGAAAACTATGGGCATAAAGGTCACCCTGTGCCACCAAATTCCTAAAGGGACCAAGGAAAGAATCTGGCCCTTCTCCATGAAGGTTAGGTTTGATAGGCTGTTACCATAGGCTGAGGACAGCTCTTAACCTTCTGCCACAGCCACTCAGACACACACACACATACACGCCAGCCCCCCAGCCTCCACCCCCCAGAAACATAGCAGGAGCAAATAAATGCACACAGCACATCACGACCCTGTGGCCACTGACCTTCCAAATACCGGGTTCAGTTGTTTGGGAATATATTTGTCCCGGTCTTTGATTTCCGTTTGGCCAAGCCTGATCACAATGTAGGGATCTGCTTTGCCGTCCGGATCAGCTGGGCTGAGATTAAATGCCTGGAGAGGAAAAAGAAAACCCTTTTGGACCAGTGGTTTCCAACACTGGCTGCACACTCAGATCACCTAGGAGTTAAAAAAAAATATGGATGCCTGTGTTCCATCCACAGATTCTAATTTAATCGGCCTTGAGCTTTGGGACTCTTAGAAGTTCTCTAGATGATTCCAGTGTGCAGCGAAGGTTAAGAACCACTGCTTTAGCCTCTCCATTCTGTCACTGAAAGAAAAGTTATCAGCTTTTCTCAAGTTGAACTTTCTCTGGAGGCATCTCCCCAGTGAAAGTAGCACTTGACACAGAGTAATGAGCACCATGCTTGACAGGAGCCAGAAGGCATGACTTTGAGTTCTGGTCCCACATCTTGTGTGATCGTGGGCATGCCATGTCTGCTTTCAGGGATCTAGCTGTAAAATAACCCGAGGGGGTGGGGGGGACCTGAAGGCTCATCCCACAACTGGTGGCCTGTGAATCCATGACCTCATCAGGCCTGCATTTAGCCAGGTGAGTAATGGTCTGTTTCTCAGAGGGAGGTCTGCTTCCAGATAACCTGGGTCTTAGCCCACCATTGGGCCATTGGGAAGCACTTTGTAAGGGAAGGCCCAGGGAGGGGGCTCCGGGGGTGGGGGGGATGATAAAAAGGACAAATTCTGCAGAGATGAGAGCGGAGTGAGAAGCTATCCTATTTTTAAGATTCTGTCCTACAGATGGAATGCATAATAAGCACACAGAGCTCTATTTTCAGGGATGTTGATTAGAGCATTGTTTAATAGCCACATTTGTAAACAACCTGTGTGTCAATTACCTAGGGAGAAACTCAGTCCAAAATACCCCTTCCCCATTTGCTCTCATCACGTCACCAAATTTTAATTCTTTACATAGCGGTTATCTCTAACATTCATCTCATTTATCTGTCCCTCTGTTTATTTTTATACTGTCTTAATCCCTACACCACCCCCTGGCTAGTACGTGATCTCCATCAGAGAAAAAGCACCATCTATCTTGTTCATTACATTATCTCCAGGACCTAGAACAGGGTCTTAGTATATGTTGAAAGGATGAATACATGGATACTACATTAATTCAAGTAAACACTAGGTGGCTGCTACAAAAAAGAGGAACACCTGTATATACTGATCTGGAAAATATCCAAATGATACTAAAAAAAAGGGAGAGATCAGTATGTAATGCATGAAGTAAGACTCTGTTAAATGAATACTTGGATGTAGCTGTAGACAAAGTGTAAATACAGCTGATTCTTGAAAACATGGGTTTGAACAGAGAAGGGTCCACTTACACGTAGGTTTTTTTAAATAAATAATAGCATAATACTGTAAATGTATTTTCTGTTCTTTATAATTTTTTATAATGTTTACTTATTTATTTTGAGAGAGAGACCACATGAGTGAGGGAGGGGCAGAGAGAGGGAGTGAGAGAATCGCAAGCAGGCTCCACACTGTCGGCACAGAGCCTGACACAGGGCTCAAACTCACGAACCATGAGATCATGACCTGAGCTGAAATAAAAAATCAGACACTTAACCTACTTTACTGTAAGAATACAGTATACAATACAAATGATATACAAAATACATGTTAATTGACTATGTAATCAGTAAGGCTTCCAGTCAACAACAGGCTATTAGGAGGTAAGTTTTGGGGGGATCAAAAGTTATACATGGATTTTCAACTAAGGGGGGGTTGACACCCTTCACCCCCATGTTGTTCAAGGGTCAACTATAGATCTGGATGTGTTTACATATTCATAAGAAAAGTACGTTATTTCTGGGGCTAGACTTGCAGAGGTGGGGAGATTTGATTTCTTTCTTGATACAACTTTTAAGTAGTATTATGTTTTACATTTTTGGATGTTTTATTAAATGAAATTAACTTATTATTTAATTCATTGACTAAATTTTAGCATGAGAGAGAAAACCACACAATCACTACTACTAGAAATGTCAGTGAAGGGGTGCCTGGGTGGCTCAGTTGGTTAAGTGTCAGACTTCCACTCAGGTCATGATCTCATGGTCCGTGAGTTCAAGCCCCACTTTGGGATCTGTGCTAACAGCTTTGAGCCTGGAGCCTGCTTCGGATTCTGTGTCTCCCTCTCCCTCTGCTCCTCCCCCGCTCACACTCTGTCTCTCTCTCTCTCCCAAAAATAAACATTTTTAAAAATTAAAAAAAGAAAAAAGAAATGTCACTGAAAAGCACTGACTGTCCCTAACTGCAAGGAATCTCTCCTCTTTGCAGCCAGGCCCACCACCTGGCTCTTCATTGTCCAGGCCCTTCTCTCACCACACTACTTCCTAAGCAGGCCTGATCCATACTCCTGGCCTTTATCTATAGGATACCAGACACATAAAATGTGTCCTGTGGATATTTGCTGAATAAGCAAATAAATAATAATCCTCTCCAATCTCTGCTGTCCAAGATATTTCCCCCTCTCTTTCCTACTGTTCATTCTCTCTATTTCTGGATTCCCTAAACTATGTTCCAAAGAACCATACTTCTGCTGGATTTTCTGTAGTGGGGGATGAAGCTGTGGGGCAAGAAGTTTAGAAAATACTGTTAAAGATTCAACAGTTAAATAGGCCTCTTTACTTCTGGAATTCTCATACCTTAAATGTGCTAATGGGCTTTGCTAATCTCAGGGGTTGGAAAAGGAAAAAAATATTATGTGTACTATTTCTCAAATTTATTTGAACACGGGGTCTGCTTCCTGAGGAGTGCGTATTAATGATGTCTCCCATGCCATGAGTGACCTCCTGAACAAAATTTTGAGTCTAAACTATCCTATGGGTGGGTGTTGAATGTAGATTACTCGAACTGCTGATGATTCTTTATAAGTACTTCTAATCTTTCCAACTAGATTGTCACTTCCTTGAGGGCAGAGACCCTGTATTTTTTTCTCATCACCACATCCTTGGTGAGTAGAACACGCCAGGCACACGGCAGTACAGAGGACACATGGAGGCTGCACCATGGAAAGGCACCATTTTCATTTTCCCTGAGTATTAGCAAATAATTCATCTTTGTTTCATGCTTCATTTCTAAAAAAGGATGTAGGCAATTTAAGCAAGGACTTGGTATAAAATAAGACTAATGCAATCAAAGGAGATTATGAAAATCAACTCCAAGGGCAGGAGATGAAAACAAATACACGAACCACAAAGGCTCAGCGGAGATTTGCTTTGATTGAACATCGGATCTGGCCCCAAGTTTCCAGGCAATCAGGTCAAAAAGTTTCCTAATTAAAGTGTGGTGCTCTCAGCCAAGAAACAGACCCTTAATTGTAGTGAAGAAACTGATGGTTACCAGAGGGGAGGCGGGTGGGGGGACAGGGGAACAGATGATGGGGATTAAGGAGTGCACTTGCCCTGATGAGCAATGGGTGATGTACGGAAGTGCTGAATCACCATATGGTGCACCTGAAGCAATACTATACTGTATGCTAACTAACTGGAATTTAAAGAAAAACTTATAAAAAGAAAAAAAGCGTGGTGCTCTCATTATCAGAAAGTAAGAAGCCTAGAGCAGAAATAATATTTTTCTTGGAAATACACTTGAAAGGAAATTTCTGACTGCAACAGTGCAGAGGCACGGCCATGGGGGAGGACCTTGCAGAGATGCTGCTCTGGTCCGCCCCGGTTCGGCTCCCTTGCCCGGGAGCTTCCAGCTTCAGTCCTATTTGTCCCATTAGGTTTTCTTCTAGCTATCAGGCAACCACAGAGAGCGGATGAAGCCGTCTCACATGCCTGGGAAGTATCTTCCCTGAGTGAAAAGCCAACAAATGTGCATGTTACCAACCAAACTTCCTAGCCCCTGTTACAGGTTGGGTTGCAGTGTGTGTTCTCAAAATGCTATGTTGAAGCCCGAACCCTTAGTGTGACCATAGTTGGAGACAGGGCCTTTAGGGTGCCAATTAAAGATAAATGAGGTCATAAGGTGGTGCCCTAATCCAACAGGACTGGTGCCCTTATAAGGAAAGGGAGAGACACCAGGTCACCCCTTCCCTGTCTCTGTCTCTCTGTCTCCCTCTCTTTCCCACTCTCTTGCTCACTCATTCACCCTCAAGCTGTATGTGCGTGTGTGTGTGCGTGCGCGCATACACGTGCACAGAGGAAAGACCACGTGAGGACACAGGAAGGAGGTGGCCATTGACAAGCCAGGAAGAGATGCCTTACCAGAAACCAACTCTTAGGGCACCTTGATCATGGACTTCAGCCTCCAGATCCCTGAGCAAATAAATGTCTGCTGTTTAAGTTACCCATTCTGTGCTATTTTGTTACGGCGCCGGAGCAGGTTCAGACAGTCCCTCAGAGTAAACAAGGGTGGCTTACCGCAACAATGTACACCCTGATCAGGACTTTGACAGGGTGGTTGGGAGGAACCCCTTGCTGGATTCTCAGCTGCCCACAGTCCTCCGTGCTGGAATCCTTGGGGCTCTTGTAGATGCAGAAGGAGCCCTGGAACCGCAAAGCATGACTCCGTGAAGCAAGATGGTTATATGTGCCATCAAAAGCCAGAGAGGGCACAGTGCTGGGAAAATGAGCACTGCCTGGGACCCAGCAGGACCTGGGATGGCATTGCCCCTGTGTGTCCTCAGTTCACGTAACCTGCTTGCATCTGAGCTTCTTCATGGTATCAGGGGATCAGTGTTGATAGAGTAACACCCCCCTCACATTATTAGGTGAGGAATGTGGGCAGGAGCATCAGATGGGATGCTGAGTACCTTGTACACACAGGGCGCTGAGCTGGCACTTTCTCCCACGGTCTCCTTGAAGCCTGACTGCAGTATTTCCTATATCCAGATGCTGCCGCTCAGGCTCCAAATCACAAAGCTAGTTACCATTATGGGATAGAAAAGTGGTGAACTGTGGTACCTCTGCTATTTCCAACACACTGCCCTGCATCACATGGCCCAGCACGGAGCAGTTCAGAGTCGGTGCCGACCCCTGCATTGTGGTGCTGACACACCAGGAGTCTGCCAGAAAGAAGGGCTAGTGTTGTTTGATTAGTTTAATGATCCAATTGGTATATCAGTATAGATCATCTATTGGGTGGGTCAGGCGTGGAAGAAGCAAAATAAAATCCTTTTAGGTAACAGCTCTGTCTCCTTATATCCCATCAGATCGAGTTGCAACTCACTTCACTGGCCACAAACCAAATATCTTTCAAAAGACAGGGTTAAGCCTTGTTGGGTTCTAGAAAGGGTCTTGTGTAAAGACTAAGGGATTTTCTTACACACTTCCCACACCACAATCTCATTAACAGAACTGAGTCATATCTGACATTTATGGACAGGAGACCCACATAAAAGAGTTAACTTTGGAACTTGCCTTAAACTTCCCTATGACTCGGTCCCCATCGAGGCCATGGTCATCCTCTGTAGACTTGCCTCTGAAGAGTTCAAAGGTTTTCACCCAGTCTTCAAAATGGTTGAATTCACTCTCAAGGTCACCGTCATATATCTTTAGGGAGAAGGGAGAAGAGTGAGCTCAGAGGAAGGAAGACCCAAGATTTATTAAATTAGAAATGCCAAGATTCTCCAAAACCAGCCTTGATATACGCCCTTTGGAAAAATCTAAGAAGCCACTGTTAACTTATTGTTAGCAAGATAAGGAATATGATTGACTCAGCATTCCTGGAACTAGCTACCACTCTGAAATTTATAAAACCTTTTGGATAAATTTTGAAGTACCAATAAGAAGAGCTACACCAAAATTAAAAATACATATGGCTACAAATATGAAAAACCTTTTTATAGCAAATTGATGTCATTTGGTTTTTGGACATAGACGAATATTCTGAGGACACTCAAATCAATAAATGTTCATTAAGCATTCTTTATACATAAGGTGATAGAATATTTGTTTTTGTTACCATACATACAGCCATGAATTTTTCAAGTGCAAAGTTATATATATATACACTTTAGAAATGCAAATTCGAATTGAGTTTTAGGTTTCATAATATCATTGAATCAGTTATCCAAATTTCCTATCACAATTACTTACCCAAATTTGTTATATATAATTTTCAGGCTCCCGATTTTCTTTTTTCTTTTTTTTTTAAGTTTATTTATTTTGAGATAAAGAGGGGGAGCATGTATGCACACATGAACAGGGGAGAAGCAGAGAGAGAGGGAGAGAGAGAGAATCCCAAGCAGACTCCATACTGTCAGTGCAGCGTTCTATTCAGGACTCGACCCCAGGAACCGTGAGATCATGACCTGAGCCAAAATCAAGAGTCGGATGCTTAACCAACTGAGCCAACCAGGCACCCCAATACTCCCAATTTTCATATCCATAAATATGCCTCTAGCTAATAGCCTCTGACTAATGTTAAGATTGGTCTGATGGAGCTGACTATAGTGAGAGTTAAAATTCCTGCTATTTTGATCATATTTTGAGCATGATAATGTCAATCTCTGAAAGCTGAGCCAAGGGGAACTCATCCACTGCAAATTACCTTGCTGGATCCAGGCTAACAAATGTAAGTTATGCCCCTTCTCAATATGAGGACATGGAAAACAGAAAATTAGCACGCTCCATTGTTTGGGTTCTCATGCTTGTTAAGGTTCATTTCTCTGCATTCGTGATTGTAATGAAGACAAACTAAGTTAGTTCAGACAAAAGCATTACTAGGGTTGACTGAAGCAGTAGCAAAACCTGCCTCCGGAGCCTCCCGCCCCATCCATGGCCAAGATGGCTGTGTCCACGCACCTGCAAGATGGCTAGGTTGGGGATTTCATCCTCTTTGAGTTTCTTCTTGAGCATTTTGTCTTTCTTCTTTTTTGCCCCATCTTCTATATTTACCACCACCTCGTCTGGTTTCACCCCTGTGGATATTTAGTGGAAATCGTTAGGTTTCCCGGGACTGTTGGGAAGGAACAAAGTCAAACTCCCTTCTTCCCTTTGCCCTGCAATGTATGTCATGACTTTTATTTCCAAAAAGAAATAGCAACATTTCACTGCAGGACGCAGGACGGGAGGAGATGCCACTCACATAGCAATGCAATGACATCAGATTCCCCCGGGGCCAGGCAATATCCTGGCCTGTCCTGGTATATGTAGGAATTCATTAAACTAGGCACAGAGAGGGAAATAAATAAGTAAGCTACCCAGTCATCCAACTAGCTAAGAACAGACCCAAGATGGACACTCTCCAAAGCTTTTAGTTATTATTTCCTCTTAGATCTGCTTAGGGACTTGAGAGAATCATCTAGTTCAGCAACCTGAAGCTCAGATACATTAAGGGTCTTGCAGCAAGTCACAAATGTAGTTAGAGAGATTACTCAGGCATTTTCCAGGAGCAGTCTCTAAGGAAAAAACTGCCTGAGGCTGACCCCTAGCTCTGCTATTTTCCAGCCCCGTAAACTTGAGCGGGTTCCTCCATATCTTTGTACCTCTGTTTCCTCATCTGCAAAGTGAAGATACCATTGCCAATGTCATGAGGCTGGTCTTGGGATTAAATCTGCCAATTAGGAGTGGTCCAAGGAACCGAGTGAGCCTGGTCCTGGTTTTCCTACTTCTTTCAGGGTCACCTGAAACAGCACCAGCCCCTTGCTGTCACTATTGACTTCGGGCCAAGACCTGCCCTTGTAGGTCATTTCAAATCTTGGCCTCTTTCATCTGAACTTCTACCAAGACAGATCTACCCGATCCTCACAAACTGAGTTGGGAACCTAAAATCCAGGCCACCTCTATCAAAGCTCACCATACTCACACTGGCCCATCAGTGCGCTTCCCGCTTTTGCCCTGCTGTTTTCTACATCAAGACGGGAGCCAGAGGATGGTTCCAGCACTAAACTGAGTTCAGCATCCCTGGGATCTGGTCCCAGTCCAGCTCAAATTAGTTACGTGACCTTCATACAGTATTGTTCTTTATACAGAGATTGTTCCTCACTTGGGAAATGAGGGAGCAGAGAACTACCGTGCCTCTCACCGCTCCCTTTTAGAAATTTTCTCTCCTCATTGGGAGAGTCCATGCTCGTATACCTGCAGGCCAGCCCCTTACCTGCATTGCCTCTCTTCTCCTTGGGACTGCTCTGCTTTTCCTTGGAGAGAAGAGGGAGACAGGATTATTGATACCACCATGCCTCGCGTATGGATCCTGACTGCAAATAGCCCTCTGCATTCTCAGAGATGCCATCTTAAAAGACTATGCAAACTGTCCCCAAGTGAAGCCTCACTGACAGAACGCAGCGAGATGGCCAGCCCTATGGAAGAGGTGCCCCAGCATCCAAGAAAAGAGCCAGCAAGCTACACACTTCTTTGTCCTCTGTGCATGGCCCCTTCTCAGCTACTATCTCTCTTCCCCAGTGTTTCTACCTCCCTGGAATATCACCCACTCTGCACCATGGGTTTTACCTGCTGGCATGCCAGGCTGTGGGGTTTCGGGGTTGGTCCCCGGGGCTGGGGAGGTTAGCAGAGCAAGGAGAGAGGGCTGAGCCCTCCCTACAGGTGGTAGCGTACAGTGCAGCAGCAGGACGGAATTTGGAGGCAGGGGCCACCATTTGGTTTGTTTATTTAACTATACATCAGTATTCACGGGAGGCCCTAGATGAAGACACAATGGACTTTCCAAACAAAAGAATCAGAAGAGTTTCTATTCAATTGAATGTGATGATAACATATGACTCATTTTCCTTCCCTTGTTTTTTTTTTTTTTTAATATTTTATTTATTTCTAGGAGAGAGAGAGAGACAGCGTGAGCAGGGGAGGGTCAGAGAGAGAGGGAGATACAGACTCCGGAATAGGCTCCAGGCTCTGAGCTGGCAGTCAGCACAGAGCCCGACGCGGGGCCTGAACCCACGAACCGCGAGATCATGACCTAAGCGAAAGTCGGACGCTCAACCGACTAAGCCACCCAGGCACCCCATTTTCCTTCCCTTGTTGACTCGAGGATGAGAAGTTTTACCAAATTCAGCCACTGGGCTTTCCCCTGAATCTCTTGACCTACTTTCCAGTGGTTCTCCCACTTTATAGCTCAATCTTTTTCTTGTTCCATGTACACGAGGCCCGGCTTTAGCAACCTGTTGGTTATTCCCATTAGCTAAGGCCAGATCCTCTGCCTTTTCTCTGATACCTTCCGATATGAACTTAGAATCCTGCTGGAGACTGGGGACCCTTTGATCTGGGTATCTCCAGGGGATACCTGAGGCACCCCCCATCACTATGCACATCTATCCAGGGACCCCTTTGCCTGTGGCTGGATCTTTCTGAGTCTGACGTGGGGGAAGTGGGGGAAGATCTCCAGATGCTACGCCAGACTGAACGTCCCTCCAGCATTGACAACAGAGCCTGCATCCTAGGGTCAGCCTCAGCCAGAGGGTGAGGATTTTGCAATTCTGGATCCCTGGTCCTTCCAGGCTTCAAACCTTTCTGCAGTTAACAGAATGACACCTGAGAAGGCCCTAGCTATAGCAGAATCTCAAAGGGGATAGGTACTGTGGGACTGAGGAGGGGTGGAGGGTGCTGTGTTTTCTTATCAAATCCCTTGACCGTCACAGCCAGGAGAGACTCTACCTTCTGGGCTTTCTTCAGGGAGGCATAATATTTGGACCACCAGTCAATGACGTTTTCAGCGGATTCATCCGCTATGGTTCTCCTTCTTCTTTTGGTTGACTTTCGGGTAGGTTTCCTGGCATCCTGGCAAGGAATGAGGCATGGATTATTAGTTAGGCCTGGTGGTTGGCCGGTTTCCTGAAGAAGAGAACAGACGAAGGCACGGGCAGGTTTTGTGGCTGACGCTCTCTGTACCACTTCAGTAAATGACCCTTTAATCACCCAGCCATCCATTCACTCATTTATTCAGCAAACATTTATTATTATTTAAACACGGGGGTGCGAGATACTGCGCTCTGTTCTGGGGACCCAAGGGGAATGAGGAACTATTCCTATATTTGGGAAGCTTAATTCAGTAGAGGGACACAGGCTGCCTGATACGGGGTGCTAGGGCAGAAAACGCATTAATTGCCAAGCGATTAATGTAAGTTTTGTGATTCTCAGTGTCCTCAGCTAGGGGACCTTCATACCTGCTTCCTTCACCGTTGTGAGGATTAACTGACATAATGTAGACAAATTTCCCTTTGATACCAACAACGTAAGTAAGGTACAGGAGAGACAGCGATACATAAACAGCAGAAAGGAGGCATTTGGGGAGAAGACAGTGGCCCTGTGACAGATTTATCATGTACCTATCATCTGTTTGCTCTCAGACATCTCTTGAGTACCTACAATGTGCCAGGCACTTTATCAAGTACAGGAGGTACAAGGATCTTTAAAAAAATCATCTGTGACCAGGTGGGGCCCACACTTTTATGGTGGCAACACACACTTCAACTGGGGATTCTAACATAAAGTGTCAGGTGCAATGCTGGTGGGGTACAGAGAACCCCTCAAGATGCCCAGGAGGGTCACAATGAGCATCAATAAGATAAGAATGGCCTGAGCACAGATCCACGAACCTGTCTTACTCTGTTTTTATTTGAGCCTTTACCATTTGCTGGGCAGGCAGTCCCTCAGGACTTTCTTAACACTGCCTCCTCCTTGGGACGCCTGGGTGGCTCAGTCAGTTAAGCATCCAACTTTGGCTCAGGCCATGATCTTACAGTTTGTGGGTTTGAGCCCTGCATCAGGCTCTGGTGTTGATAGCTGAGCCTAGAGACTGCTTCGGATTCTGTGTACTCCCTCTCTCTGTGTCCCTCCCCCACTCATGGGCTTTCCCTCTCTCTTAAAACTTAAATAAACATTAAAAAAATAAAAAGAAAAAAACACTACCTTCTTCTTCAGTTGGTTGATACACCAGGATTTTGCACTCAAATTTAGGACTTAGAAAGATTCATCACATTCTTGTTTTATGGCTCTTTGTGTACTTGTTTATCTTGCTTTCCAGAATCTCAGCTGAGGATGAGGAGTCTCATTTCTCTTTAGATTCCAGAGATTTTAGATTTTTATTTTTGGTCTTACTTGTCCTTGTACAAAGTAGGTTCTAAATAGGGGTGCCTGGGTGTCTCAGTTGGTTAAGCACCCGACTTTGGCTCAGGTCATGATCTCCCAGTTCGTGGGTTTGAGCCCCGCATCGGGCTCTGTGCCGACAGCTAGCTCACAGACTGGAGCCTGCTTCAGATTCTGTGTCTCCCTCTCTCTCTGACCCTCCCCTGTTCACGCTGTCTCTCTCTCTCTCACTCAGAAATAAATTTAAAAAATTCAAAAAAATTCAAAGTAGGTTCTAAATATTTGTGGAATAGGCCTAGGTAAGAAAACTATTGTCTTTCCAAGTTAATGAATTGAGAATAGCTTCTGTTCAATTAAATACGACTGCCACAGTTGACTAGCACTTGAATTTCATTATACACTGACTTCTCTGGTTCCACAGCAATGCTATGAAGTGGGTATCAGTGTACTCATTTTACAGATGAAGAAACTGAGGCTCAGAGACATAAAGTTACTTGCTCCTGGTTGCGCAGCTAGCAGGTGGGAGGATTTGTATCAAGCCTCCAGTGCAAAGCCTTGGAAATAGGAAGAAGGGTTACACTCTGACCTTGGCTTTGCTATCTTTTGGTGGCTCCTCTTCTGCAGGTTTGGGTTCAGGCTCAAGCATAGGAGATGAGTCAGGGATGTCAACCAAGCTGGTTGGCTGAATTTGGGCAGAGTCGGGTACCACGGTGGGAGGCGGCTCTACATCCACGTAGATGTGATCCGTTGGCGGCTCCTGGGAGGAGCTGAGGGACCCGGAGGGCTCAGTGGTTATTAGCGAGTCTGAAACAGGTGAAATGGAAATACATCAGGTCAGGAAACTGGGATGCTAAACAGAGTGGCCATTTCAGAGACTCAATACTGGAAATCAGACAGATCTGGATTCAAATTATGGCAAATTCCTAACATCTCTGAATCTCATTTTCCTTATTTATAAAATGACAGTAAAAAAAAACAAAAACAAAAACAAAGAAAACAACCAATTTCACTGGAGGATAAGTGAGATCACGATGTAAGGCATCAGGAATCAATTAATGGCTGTACTTATTACTGATCTTTTTGGAATAATTTTAAATAACTGTGGTTATAAGGAAAATACATATCAAGGTTTAAGACACAGGCCCTCTGTGTGGATTGTTTTTTTCCCAGTGCCAGCTAACTCAGGGAAACTTGGGAAGCTCTAGAGATCTGTGAACTCCTAACTGCAAGCTTGACTCTGGGCACATGAGAGCATGAGCTTGTCAGGACATAGGGGTCGGTTCCTGGACTTTGTGAGATTTTTAACTCGAAAAGGTCCTAACACTCTCCTTTCTTGCCAAGGGTCCTCTCTTCTCCATTTTGTGCTGTAGAATCCAGTACTTAGAAACATTTCCCAGTTGGGAGTCTCCACAGCTGCATGGCCTTCAGAGTTTCTCTTCCCCAGTTGCTGACTTTTCAAGAGCAATTGCGACTCCACAAACATGTAATGGGCATCTACTCTGTGCTCAGCGCAGAATTGGAAAGATCAATGGGATAGAATAGAAAACTCAAAAATAGACTAGGGATGTGTGGCTACTTGATTCATGAAAAAGCTGACAGCACGAAACAATGGGGAAAGTTAGGAGACTCTTTGGAGGAAAATGATGTTCCTATGGAGAGAAATGTAGCAGGATCCCTATCTTAAATCACATACAAACACAGATAACTGAAGATCTAATGTGAAAGTTAAAAACATAACAATAGAAGAAAATACAAAACAACATTTTTGTGACCAAGAATTAAGAATGGGGTTTCTAACAAAATTCTGAAAGAGCAAGCCATAAAGTTTAAAATTCAGTCAAAATAGGATTACATTAAAATTAAGAATTTCTGTTCAAAGATGCAAACCACAGACAGGTTAGCAGTTATCAGACTCGGAGAAGATATAATCTACAGGATATTAACATCTAGAATACACAAAAAAAGAAAATGTTTTGAAAAACACATAAAACATGGACCAGGGTTGTGAGCAGGAAATCACAGGAGGGAGATCAAGATGGCAAAAGCATGTGAAGAGATGTATAAAATTCAATAGTAATCAGAGACAACCAAGCTAAAATAAAAATGAGATACTACTTTATACCCAGCAGAGGGGCAAAAACCAAACCAAAACAAAACAAAAAACTCAGAAAGGTGGATAATGGCAGGTGGTATTGAGGAAGAAGAAAATGGTACTCCAGATGCAGAATGGTAGCAATGTAGACTGGTGTAGACTGGTGTAAACCAGCACAGCTCTCTAGAGCGCCCTCTAGCAGTACTTGGTAGAATGACATCTGCACATTCCTGTGAGTCCATAATCTCGCTCCTGGATGCATATTCCAAAGAAAATGTCACGCAGGATCCTCCCTTGGGCAGCACTCATAAGGATATTCACAACGGCATCATTTGTGGAGGTGGGGAGTTGGAGATAGCCTAAGGGGTCCAATATCAAGGGAAAGGAAAAGCAATGTGGGGTAGATCAGCAGGTGTGGGCAACAAGCTAATGTACACGCAGCAATGTGAATAGGTCTTAAAGCATGGCTTTGAGCAAAAAGAGTACAAAACCAAATGAAGATTACAGCATCATATTATAAACGTTGATTAAACGGATTGAAATCTTACAAAGCGGAGCAGCGTGGGGCCTGCAGTGGGCGGGGGGTGGGAGAGGGAATGGGGAATAAGGCACAGGGGAGCGGTGGTATGAAACAGAAGCTTTCACCAGACCAATGATGACTGCACAGCATGAACAGAGAAGTGCAGTTAATTCAACTCTTCACCTGAGATCCAAAATGGAACAAATCAAAGTAACAGCAAGCAAAGAAAAATGTCAGGGAGCAAAGGTAGAAGGGAGCTGGAGTAATATTCGCGGAAGCCCGCTTCGAGGGGCTGACCCTGGTGTCAATCCTAGAGTCAGAATCTGGCAGCTAAAGAAGCTGAAGGGCCTGTAGGAGCAAAGTTTTCAGAAAGCTCCACTTGACTTGACCATGGGGCCCCCTCTTCGTGCAGCGTCCCATAGCAGACCCCTCCCTGCAGGCACTACAGTTTTGGGGTCTGAAGCTCCAGAAAATCTAAAAGGCACTTCATACCTTGCTCAACTTGGGTTCCGTCCACCTCTGACAGGGGGGCCAGGGGCTCCTTGGGTTTACACAAAAACTGCTTCAAGCAGTTGATGGTGTAGGTGCCCACCAGGGTGCTCCTCCCGAAAGCTCTCCAGTCCACCACGCAGATGCTGAGGGGCGGGTGCAGAAGCTCATTCTCAGGCAGCTCCTGGGAGGAGAAGCCACGGTAAAGTGGGGGTGCTGCCTGGGCTGAGCCCAGCGGCTGGCGCCTTGCTGACCTGTTCAGGGGCCCGACCAAAGCAAGCCAGGCACCCCTCCTCCCTCTGTTCTCCCAGATCACCCCTGCAGCCGGTCAAAAGTCGGGAGCATTGCCTTCCAAGCCAGGGAATCATTACCCATAAGAGGATGAAACTAACAAGTCATCCCAGGTGTAAATTGCAAAACTCACAGACTGCCAAACTCTTAGTGGTAAGTAATAGTCTTCAATCCCATTTTGTCATTACGTACCAGCAGAACTCTCGACTCAAATGAACACTGACCCAGACTCAAGAAAACAGATGGAAGGGGATACATTAAAAATGGAGCTGAGGGTGAGGGGCCAGTGCCCTCCATCTTGTCCCCCACCCCCACCCCGGGGAGGCCCAGAGGCCTGACAACGCCCAGTGTGATAGGTTTGTGAACACCGCGCACATTCCCCACTTCCAGTCCCCGCTAATTTAGAAGATGCGGCCATCGGAGCTGACTGGGTTGCACAAAGCAAACCTTCTCCACAGTTACTTCCAGATGAGAGCACAAAAATGTGCTAAATATCAAAATAAACAGAAGCGTGGGGGTCAGAAAACATCACTTTAGAAACACAAGTTCGCCTGTAAGCCACTGATACACTACGTATGAATCATTTTTTTTTAAAGTCTAACTGCTAAAGTAAGTCTCGTTAAGGAAGCTTCTAGGCCAGTGATTTGCCAACTTGAACACGCATCAGAATCACCCAGAGAGCTTGTTGAGCCAGAGAGGTCTGGGCCTTAGCCCACAGCAGTTTTGATTCAGCAGTACTGGGGCGGGGCCTGAGAACCTGCATTTCTAACACGTTCCTGATGCTGATGCTGATGAATTGGGGGCCACACTCTGGGAACCACTGTCAACCTGCCTTGATTTACCGAACCTATAAAAACAAAACAACAGCACAGCAGCAATAACAAAAGTCTATTTCATCCCATCCTGAGAGTCCCGCTTTTCCCTAAATTAGACCACCTTTCCTCATAGGTAGTGGACATGCTCAAACTCCAAAGCATGACCCCAATCCAAGCAAATGAAGGAGGGGGGTTCCCTCTGTGGAAATGAAGGAAAGGAGCGGGCAGGAGAAGGGGAGGCGATACCACTTCGAAAGCATCTGCCTGGATGCTGAAGTTTGGGTTGTTCTTGTAGCTCTGGATCACACAGGACTTGACTCCCCGGCCCCCACACTCGATGAGGACCTGCGGCCGATCCACCGACAGCAGCTGCACCTTCTTCATTTCTCGGACTCCCCAGAAGAGAACCTGACGAGAGGACGGGCAGAGCTGTCACTCAGAGACCCAGGGAGGAGCCAGCGTGAGGGCGCTGGGCTGGGTGTGGAAGCCAGAGGTGCTCCCCGGGAACTACTATGGTATGTTCTGGAACGGGCTGTGCAGCTCCCTGAGGGCCCTGTCCTATCAACCACGCCTCATTTCCACCCCACACTCCCCTCAGACAATGCAGGCGCGGACGGCAATGCACCACTGCCCTACAGCCCCAAAGAATGAGTCAGTCTTCCCCTGCACCATACCTCCACTCGGTATTTGCTCAGCACGGGCCGAATGCTGGCAGGAACTGGGTAGATGTGGGTGACATCTGGTGGGTCAACGGGAGGAAGTCCTTGCAGCCCAGATGAAGGGACCTACCACACAGAGCAAGGGCTGGTTGGAAGGTCGGGGAGAAGCAGTGAAGACCAACCGGCACAGCACTGCCTCACCCACATGACACTCACTCAACAAAAGTAGTGTTTCCAGCTTCAAGTAGACCAACAACAGTGCATTTTATCACACTGAATTATTTATTCATTGACCAATATTTATTCATCGATGCTTTCACGAGGGTGACCAGCATTTAGTGAGCACTTACAATGTGCCACTAAGTTAACAGGTTAATAAGCTGTTAACAATATAGAGGAGGTCCTCACAAAAGGATGGAATGTCACCAAGTGTCAGCATCTGGGGGCGGAAAAGTGTTCTGACCTGGTTCTGAGCTCTGAGACTTAACTACACCCCCATTACACACTACTACTAAAGAGATTCCTAGTTAGTCAAATAGAGACTATGTCTTCATCAGTGAAACAGAAATGGAGTCCTCTGAAGACAGACCTCCAGGATGAAAAGGTGTCATTTCCTGTGCATTTGGCCATACAGAAACCACAGGAGGGGTGCCCCTGGGTGGCTCAGTTGGTCGAGTGTCCAACTCTTGGTTTCTACTCTGGTCATGAACTCACGGTTCATGAGTTCAAACCCCGTGTCAGGCACTGCACTGATAGGGATTCTGTGGAGCCTGCTTGGGATTCTTTCTCTCCCTCTCTCTCTCTGCTCCTTCCCACTAGTGCTCTGTCTCTCCCTCAAAATAAACAAATAAACTTAAAAAAAAAAAAAAGGAAACCACTCGAAGGATCATCACTGAAATCTCACATGAAGGTCTTGGAAAGTCTCCTGAGGCCACCCCACACTGCCTTCGAGACCCGGCTCATTGTCTATATCTTCCCAAAACCTGTCCCTGATTTGACCACAGTCTCTGTGGCCATTCTCCTACCCGTCAGTCCTTGGAATACAGTGTGTCTTCTGTGGAAGGTTAGTGCAGAAATCAGTGGGCTAAGCCTGGACACCAGACCCTGCTGTGTGACCCTGTGTGAGTCCCTTCCTTTCTCTGGGCCTCAGATATCAGGCCAGATGACCCTTCAAGCCCCTTGCGAGTCAGATGCATGGGGCATGTTTGTCTGACTTGGTCAAGAGGAAGCCTCTGTTTACTTCATTTCATCTCTAAGCCCCCGGAGCAGAGCTCCACATCCAGTGGGTTCCTGATAAATGTTTATTGGCTGCCTGACACATTAGCTCCATATGCTCGAGAAAGCTTAATTGCTCATCACAACCTGCAAAGCACAAACATATCACCATTTCTTTGCAGACATATTCTAGTTGGCAACGCAGATGGGGTTAAGCTAATTATAAGAAAGCTCTGACAAAGAAGACGGCAGACGCTGCGGAGGCCAAATAGGCTGAGGACAATGAAGCTGCAGAACCAGACCACATAAAGGTGCTGGAAGCCATGAGGATGCGCACCCAGCACTGCCCGGCCGTGAGCGATGCAGCCTGCAAAACCTCGCCCCCTGAGAAAGCTAACTCTCCTCCAATTGCAGGGGGAAAGCCACACATTGGCATAGATGGGGCCCCCAGCTGGGCTCTTATAAAAGTACCACGTTTCCTCATCTGGGGCTGCCGGGAAATGTCCTGAAGAAGGTTTGCCTGACAGATGCCCTTGAGCTCAACACAGGCCTTGAAGGGCTCCACACTGTGGTGTAGCCTGAATGACTCTACTCCCAGCTAAGACTAGACGTTCTCACAGGGAAATGGGTCAGCTGCTGGCTTATAATGGGCCCAGAGGAAGATAAAGAATCATTATGGGGCATTTGGGTGGCTCACTAGGTTAAGCATCTGACTCTTGGTTTCAGCTGAGGTCATGATCTTGCAGTTTGTGAGTTTGAGCCCTGCATTGGGATTGGGGTTGGCATTCTCTCTCTGCCTTTCCCCTGTTCATTTGCTTGCTCTCTCTCTCTCTCAAAATAAATAAATAAACTTAAAAAAAAAAAAAGGATTCTTATGAAGGCAAGATGTGAGCATCAGAGGCGGGTTGAATAGGCTGGTCCAAAAGCTGATGTCCCAGCTAGAATATCCCAGTGGAGACAAAATCTCTGGACCTCAAAGGTGGTCTAGATGCAGGGCCAGGACAAAGACCTAGGGTGCAAAATTAAGGTGCCACTCTCAGGGTCATGCATGACCCTAGGCCCAGCCCTGCTCATCTGAAAAGTCCCTGCTGCTCAGAAGCCATTCCACATCCTCTGGGTCCCTCAGCCCATCATTTATACTTGCATTGCCCCTCTTCTTCGGTGCCGTGGGCAGTACAGTCTAGGCCTCCATTGCTTGCTAGCTGTGTGAACTTGGAAAAGTTGCTCAGTGTCTCTGAGCTCTGTCATTTTGTAAAGTGAAGATCATGACATCTAACTCATTGGTTGCTGTGAAGAATGTTGTGCAGGGCACACATAAGTTCCCTAGAAGTAAGTGTCAACCGGAAACAGCAAAGGCAGAAGCTCAAATTCACACCATCTTAATCTTCAACTGGATTCAGGTGATCTAGGATCGCTATGCCCCAAACTACCTCAAAAGCAACTTGTTGAGATGAGCATTGGGTGTTATATGGAAACCAACTTGACAGGGGAGCCTGGGTGGCTCAGTTGGTTAAGTATCTGACTTCAGCTCTGGTCATGATCTCACAGTTCATGGGTTCGAGCCCCACATCAGGCTCTGTGCTGACAGCCAGCTCAGAGCCTGGAGCCTGTTTCAGGTTCTGTGTCTCCCTCTCTCTGACCCTCCCCTGCTCACTCTTGCTCTCTCTCTCTCTCTCTCTCTCTCTCTCAGAAATAAATAAAATATAAAAAATTAAAAAAAAAACCAACTTGACAGTAAACTGTTAAAAAAAAATCATTGTGCTAGGAAAATATCGTTCTAGGCTCAACTTTTCTCTACATATTTTTGTGAGTGCCTGACACATGTTTGAAAATATTGTATTGGGTCTCCTATGGGTGAAATATTAGTGTTGACTTCCATGTGTGACGTGATGACTCTCACACCCCCCGGCCAACTCAGCAGGCAATCCTGTGGAGAATCCTCTTTTTTCATGATTACACTTTTTAAAAATTATTTTTAATTTTTTTAATGTTTATTCATTTCTTGAGAGATAGAGACAGAGCATGAGTGAGGGAGGGGGGAGAGAGAGAGGGAGATACAGAATCCAAAGCAGGCTCCAGGCTCTGAGCTGTCAGCACAGAGCTTGGACGTGGTGCTCAAAGCACGAACTGTGAGATCATCACCTGAGCTGAAGTTGGATGCTAACTGACTGAGCCACCCAGGCGCCCCTCATGGCTACACTCTTGATCCAAGTTCTTCAGTTCTCCAGTCTGGATTACCTCAAGAGGCTCCCACATGCCCTCCTTGCTTCCCCCGGGGCCCCTTCAGCATATACTCAATCCAGCATCCATAGTTTTCAATATACATCAGATATGCTCAGAATTCTCTCTTGGCTTCCCATCTCTTATGAAAGAAAAGCCAAACTCCTTATAGCACTCACGTGACCTTCCTCTGACTCCAGCTACACTCCACCGCAGCCACACCAACGTCCTTGCTGGTCCTTGAAGATGCCAGGCATACTTGGGCTTCAGGTGCTGGCATTTGCTGTTCTCCCTGCACCTAATGCTCTTTGCCCATATACCTGCATGCCCTACTTGTCATGACCTTCCAGGTCCTGACTTACATACCACTTTCTCAGTGAGGCTTCCCTGGATGCCTAAAATGTTGACTCCGGCCTCTCCCCCAACATGCATTCCTCTCCACATCTTACAGGACATTACCGTTTCTTCTTAGTATTTATCACACTGTTGTTACATTGTAATTTACATAGTATCCTCTATTATCTCCCGGTCACTAGAATGTAAGTCCCATGAGGGTGGGAGTTTTCTCTGTTTTATTCACTGATGGATTTTTAAAAAATGTTTATTTATTTTTGAGAGAGAGAGCATGTGTGAGCATGAGCGAGGGAGGGCAGAAAGCCAGAGGGAGAGGGGGAGAGAGAGAGAGAGAGAGAGAATCCCAAGCAGGCTCCATGCTGTCAGCACAGAGCCCGACACAGGGCTCCATCCCACGAACTGTGAGATCATGACCTAAGCCAAAATAAAGAATCAAACGCTAAGCTGACTGAGCCACCCAGGTGCCCCTATTCAGTGATGAATTCTTAAGAACATGCCTGACACATAATGGACACTCAGTAATATTTGTTTGCATGAATGAATGACTGAACCAGTCCTGCCTTCAAAAAACCTACAGATTTGTGGACACAAGCCTGTAAACAATCGACCTTACTGTAGCCTGAATTTAAAAAAGAGGCAATGTGCTATAGGATGGTAGAAAACATTTAATCTGGCCAAGGAGAAGATGGGAGAGCTTCCTGGAGGAGGCATCTCTTGTTCTGAACTTTGGTGATTACCATTATCCTCAATAGGAGAGTGTAGGGCAGAAGTTGATGTGGGTGGAGTGAAGAACTTTCAGGACAGGCTAACAGCAGGAGCTCACCTGTGTGGTGAGGTCAGGAAACTCAGGGTAGCCTGGCATAAAGAGGCCATAGATGTGCAGAGTAATACGAGGAAGTGTGAGGCTGAAGAAGCAGTTTGAAGACAAGTTTTAGGAGACCTTGAATGCCAAGCTACAGAGCTCTGACATTCTCCTATGGGCCAGGCTTCCTTTTCACAAGATATGAAGAGTTCTCTCTCTCTCTCTCTCTCTCTCTCTCTCTCTCACATACACATACAACACACACACACACACACACACACACACACACACACACAAATTTCCTTGTTACAACGTTTGGAAAATGTTGGATCTTCTGAGTGTTTACCATGGTAATAGGCATTCCAAATATTCCAAATCCCCAAGAGGGATATAATACGAGGCATTTCTCTGTCTCTTCACTGCGCATATTTGGTATCCACAAAATAGACTTTAAGAAATGCTTCTGGAGGTAAGAAGCAGGGGCCGCTGATGATTTCTGAAGAGGACAGTGGAATAGGTTAACTTGTCTTCTGGAAGGAATGAGGAAGATGAAGTGAACAAGAAAAGGGTAAGAAGCTTGAAGACCAGGGAAGAGGCCGATGCAACCATCCTGAGGAGAAATACGGCAGCAGGAAAGATGGAAACCATGGAGGACAGGCTTGGCCTGGCTAAGGGCACACACTAAAGTGGAGTCCGCGTTTTCAAGGCAGAGAACAGTGGTAAACAGTGGGGCCATGAGCAGGCCTGGATGGACGGACACGGGGCTGCGGGCTTGGGGAGGGGAGGGAAATGGAGACAATTAACTCAGACTGGACATGGAAGAGCCAAGTTACCAAATCCTTCTGAGACAGGGAGGCGTTTCAGCAATGGAGGTGGAGAGGCTGAAGCAAACCACCCACAGATGAAAACTGAGAGCAGCTGGTGACAAACGGAGGCATTTGCCAGCTCGTCTTCTCAGCACGTACACGATCCACATACTAAGACTGTCACGCTGATCAAATTACTTTTTGAACAAGCGATCAAATGAGAAGTCCTAATGAGACCCTAATGAATTGTATCTCCTAGGCTGCTCACCTCTGACAATTAATGCAGCTGTCAGGAAGCAGCGGAAACTTCCCTGGCACCCTCAGCAGCGGAGGGAGGGAAGAGGGTGGGGAGGACCCTCATCTTTGAGTGGGGATCCTCAGCATGAAGGGAGTGAGGGAGGAAGGGGGAGGGGGGCCCTCAGCGTGGAGGGAGGGAGGACCACGGGACCCAGAGAGCCAAGCCCTCAGGGGGCCTGTAGGGATCAGTCACCCAGCCCTTCACTGAGGGACTAGGGGACTCAGTCTCAGAGCTCTTCAGGCAGCTTCCTGTCCTGAAACGAGCAGCTGACTGAATCCCAGTCAGTTAACCCTGAGCCTCAGTCTCCTGACATATAAAATGGGAGCCTTGAACCAGATCTGTCTTTCCCAGCCATTCCTCTACTGCGTTTATCACCTGTATTTTTGCCCAGTGAACATTTTCGTTAAGCATATTTTGTTTTTAAAAAGGGAACTTTATGATGCTAAGTAAGAAAGTACCACTTGCCGTAAATGAAAAGCAACTTTAAAGATAAAACCAATGAAAACAAAGCAGGTTATTGGAATATGTCCTGAGGAACATTTCTTATACTTTCTTTTCACTATATTTGGACTGGTGTCCCAAGAAGCAGACTTTGGGAAATGTTCTTCTTGGTAATGTTGACCTTTTTTTAAAGGCACTGAGACTGAAGCCTGTGCTCTTTCTTAGAAAGGAAGGTTGCAAGTGAAGAGAGGTATTCTAGATGGATCGGCATCAAACTGGAATTTCTGCTGGAAGTAGTTATAAGGATCAAAAGGGGCAAAACTCCATTTACAACAATAAGGATGGACCTTGAGAGTATCATGCTAAGTGAGATGTCAACAGAGAGAGACAAATAGCATATGCTCTCACTTTCATGTGGAATCTAAAAAAGCCTAACTCATAGAAACAGTGTGTGGACTGGTTGTTGCCACAGGCAGGGGGTGGGAGATTGGGTGGGGGAAATTGGGAGATACTGGTCAAAGGGTACAGACTTCCAATTATAAGATGAATAAGTTCTAGGGATCCAGTGTACAGCATGGCGAGAGGTATAGTTAACTTGGATACTTGAAAGTTGCTCAGATACACACAAAAAAGGTGATTATGTGAGGTTGGATAGCTATGTGGGATGGATTTGATAACTAACTTTAATTGTGGTAATCATTTCATAATATGTACTCTATGAAATAATCATGTTGTGTACCTTATATGTATACAGTTTTATATGTCAGTTATACCTCAGTAAACCTGGGGGTGTGGGGGAGGGCAAAACTCCCTCTATATTGATTTGATATTATTTCATGCTCTACCTGCTTTCAACCTAAAATCAGTCATTGAATGTCTAAAATTGACTGGACTTTCACTTGAGGAAAGACGGGATCAGCTGGTTTTGAAGGTCATTTTCAGTTCTAACAGCAAATGTTTCTGTGTAATACACATCCATCTGGTAGAAACTGGTTTTATTAGAATCTCTCTTGGTTTATCATCCTGGATCCTGAACCTACAACTTGTAAGACAAAAATGTTTCTAGTCCTCACTCCTACCCTCCGAGGCTGCAGCCATTATGGGGCTGGAGCCAGTGCCTGAATTCCTGCGACTCTCTCCTCTTAGGGCTCACTTAGTTCCAGTTCCCCCGACAGAGAGCTCACTCTGTCTCTAAGGCAACCATTCTATCTTGGGTGGATGCATCCTTGCAGCACCCAAGTGCTGTCTGGGGTTACCTGAGGGGCTCAGTTGGTTGAGCATCTGACTCTTGATTTCTGCTCAGGTCATAATCCCAGGGTCATGGGATTGACCCCCACGTTGGGCTCTGTGCTGGGCATGGAGCCTGCTTAGGATTCTCTCTCTCTCTCTCTCTCTCTCTCTCTCTCTCCCCCCCCCGCCATTATTCCCCACTCGTGTTCTCTTTCTCCCTAAAAAATGTAACAATAAAAAAATTAAAAATTCTGCCTTAACTGTAGCAAAAACGAGACCACAAAGTGGGGTGACTCTTTGAACTCACCCCTGTAGCCATATGCAACTCCCAGGCTGCAGATGTGGGCAGTCTGGATTTGAATACAAGGTTGTGTAGCCTCTCGGCTGATCCTGGCCCGTCATGCTTTCCAGCCTCTCCAGCACTCAGGGGAATCAATCAGTCTACCTGGATTCTAGGTCCTGACCTGCTGCTTTAAACAAATCATTACCTCTCTACACAGCTCAGCTTCTTCACCTGAAATAAATAGGTGGGACTAGACGTTTTACTTTAATATTATATGACATATTACTACTACTAATAAAATACATGGTATTAGTTGAGTGTTTATTCCATGCCAGGCACTTTCAGGAGACTGATCATCCTCATTTTGCAAGTGAAACAGAGAGATTAAGCAGCTTACCCAAGGTCACATACTCCTCAAGTGGTGGAAATGAGATCCACACCCATGGAATCCGACTCCATTACCTTCCTTCTCCCTCATCTCTATGTTAGGAGTGCTTGCTTTCTCAGTTCTCTACCATGTGAACTTTTTCTAATGGGATTTCTGAAAAACAGGCTTATGTATAGAGGAATTGGTCTGACCCAAAGGTGTCATGCCACCTGCCTCAGTGAATGCAATGGTCTCTGAAACAGTCCCCCGGGGCCTGCCACTTTTTCTCCAGGACTTCTACATGTCCCATCTGGTTTTCACTGGATAGTCAGACCGGAGAGTCTCAGCTTTCTGCCCCAGTGTCCTGCCTCTGTTTTCTGGAAAAGTCTTCTGAGGCACATGTTCATAATTTCCCCTATGTCTTAGTGGGACTGATTAAGAGCTCCCTGTCTACAGGGAGCTATGTGATGCAGTGTAAGGAGCAAAAAGCTTGGAAGGTCTCAAGTTCAGGTGCACCTGGGTGGCTCATTTGGTTCAGCATCTGACTCCTGATTTCGGCTCAGGTTATGATTTCAGGGTCATGAGATGGAGCCCCACGTCAGGCTCTGTGCTCAGTGTGGAGCCTGTTTGGAATTCTCTCCACCTTCCCTCCTTACTGTCTCTTAAAAAAAGGTTTCAGTTCAGGTCTTAGCTGCGTGATGAGGGAGGGCAGACAATTGCACTAAGCCTCAGTTTACAATGTGGAAAATGGGACTCCTAACGCCGATCTCAACAGGCTTGAGGGAGGTCTATGTGATGAAAGTTACATGAGGCACTGAATGTCCCACACGGTACGTGCCCACAAGTTTGCTCCCTTCCTCCCTCATACCCTCTCATAGTCTGTATGAACCCCAGACTTTGCATATAGGGCTGCTCAAGTATTGCTGGCCAAACCCATAAAGAGTTTTCATCCTGGGACTCTCACCTATCCATCACGGGGGTCTAGAAATAGCCTGTGACACCTGAATTCATAAGTGGCAGCTCCCGCATCCCGAGAAGGAGACCCCTCCAGACACAGGACAGCAGAGAGTGACCAGGCACAGCTTTATGGAAGTGCTCTGGCCAGGAAGACAAGGTAGACGGCTGGTGCAGACGACTTCCGGCTTGCTTACCTGCAGCAGTTCAAATACAGCAAGGAGGTCCCCTCCAGAGAGGCTCCCACAAAAGATGGGGTGATAGCACAGCCTGGGTGGCTCATAGTCCTCGTCAGCCAGCTTCACAACAGGAGCAGCCACTGTGGCCCCCAAATATTCTGGCTTCCCCTAAGGCAAAAAGAAAAGAATTTGTCTCTGGTGGTTACCGACCTGCTTCTGACCTGCATGAGTGCACTTTAAAAAATAATCTTGACAAAGCTGTAAGCCTCGTTGTCTCCCTCTTGCTACTATCTCACCGTCTTCTGCCAAGCACCTCTTATCCCTTACCAAGGCCTGGGGTGGGGGTGGGGGGCAGGGCAATGCATGTGGGCTCTCAGGGGAAACTTCTGGGCCCAAGGTTGTGAGAGACTATCTCTCTTCTCAGCATACAGAGCTCAGTGGAAGAAAGTTAAAATAATCAGCTAGGGTAGACTTGAAGGGGAAAAGAAGAAATAAGGAGGCATCAAACATTCCAAATGCTCTCCAGGTCAGGACAACCACTGTGGTCAGGAACGTGAGCTTTGAAGTCCAGGCAAACCTGAGTCTGTGTTCCCAAATCTGCTACTTTCCAGCTCTACAGCCTTGGGCCATTTGCTTAACTTTTTTGAACCTCATGCCTTAAAAGGAATTACAAACAATACCTTTTAATGGGGCCATGAGAACTGACTTAATGATGTATGTGCCTTGCACAGTGACTTATATACAATGAGTGCTCAATACATGGTAATATGAGGAGGAGGAGGAGGACGATGATGATGAAGGTCAGTACATTCAGGTGATAAAGTGGCTCTGCTCTATTTTTCTTGGTAACAAAAGAGGCCATAAAGGTATTTTTATATGTATGTATGTATATGGGCCACAAGGTTCTTTAAGAACTATGAGCACCATCTCCTGCCTCTTCCAATACCTGCCCCCAAGAGCATGGGGCCGCCTCCCCCCAGGAGCAGTGTGGGGCCAGGGCTTGAGGCCGCCTCCCCCAGGAGCAGCACAGGGGATGGGGGAGGGAGCTTGGGGCTGCTTCACCATTTATCTCGGGAATGGCTGGAATGTAAACTCCATGTGGCAGCATTGCCTGTTTTACACACTGCTGTGACCCCAGCACAGGGCAGGCCCTCATTACATATTTATTGAGTGAAAGCCATTGGGTTAATGACTTCAAAAGTACAAGGCCAGCGCCCACACTCTCTGGCTGAGGCCGGGTCTGTCAGCTGCCCAGCTCCACTGCCTTTGGATTCATAAACCAGCACTTGCATAGCCGGCTGTAGAGAGAGCCTTGGCTGAGGTAGAAATGGTGTTGACTTTAAACTAATGATAATTTGATAATTTTATGATTATTTTTGACTTTAAAACAAAGCTGCCTGTTCGTGTCCACTGGTGGCATCAGAAGTGTCCCTCATACGGCAGAGCTCTGGCAAGACACAAGTCAAGGCACAAGTGGTCTGATGTCGAACTATTTTGTCATGATCCCGGCTGGGAATCATTAAGTAAAATTGCCCTGGAAACAAAAGAATAAAGTTAAACCCAAGTAACTAATTTCCCAAATATAAACGCATTGCTTACAGAGGCAGCAGGCCCTAATGAAGGCACAAGCCACTGGAGAGTGTCAGAAAGCTCTAGACTGGGGCCACATTCTGGCAGAGTCAGAAGTAATCATCTGACCATCACCAGAGGTCTGTGGGCTCAGTGAAGCTGCCACCAGCAGCTGTAAACAGAACCTCCTGCACGTCTACGTGTATCTCTCCAGGAAGAAGAGGCAAAGTTTTCATATATTTTTTCGCTCCTACTTTTCCGTTTCATTTCGATGTGAGAATGTAGGCTTGTTTTTCTATGAAGGGTCTGGCTTGGGTGGGGCCCAGGAGGGCAATCATAAAATAGGGCTCTGGAAGGGGTCTGAAAAGCAAAAGGAAATCCATGTAGCCCAGCGGGTTGGTTTAGGAGTTTGCAAAGATGCTTGACTATTGTTCCTGGTTTTCAAATAAAAAATACTTAGGATTGGAGCCATGATGTTAGCAACAAAATTTAAAAGGTATTTATCTTGTGGCTGTCTCTACAGAAAATCTATACATTATGCACAACAGGGGAACTCGTATTCTATAAATATACGCAATTTGCGGCTCCAATTTATAGCTGGAGGAACAGGGTGCAGAGAGAGTGACATGGAAAAGCAGAATGTGCATGTCGGAAGGGATACAGCCACACCGGCTACTCCCTCCCACGTGTGTGAGAAAGTCTGGACACAGGAGGCTAGGTTCAAGTTCTGGCTCTGCCTCCAGCTACTTGTGACCTTGAACACGGCATTTGACCTTCCTGGGCCTCTGTCTCCTTCTCCAGGAAGCAAGAGGTGGTTCATGCCCCCCAAAATCCCTGCTCACCTTCTATAATTCTCCCATCCTAATATCTTCTGACTTTGCATTAAGGTCAGAGCTGCCAGCATGCTTGAGGAGAAGGGAGCTTTAGGAAGGCTTCTTGGAATAACTATTTGTGCTTCTGCGACTTCCCAACGAAGTAAAGACATCAAAGAAAATAAATAAGCCCTTGCCTTTAGACTTTTTAATTAAAAAAATAATAATAAAATAAAAAAGTTTTGTCATGATAATTAAAAAAAAAATCCTCCGGTAAGCTTTTGAATCTCAGTGGAGAACACAGACATCTTTGGAGAGGAAGAAGTTGGTTAACATCATAACAGAAATGGGATAGAGATGGGGGCGCCTGGGTGGCTTAGTTGGTTAAGTGTCCGACTTTCGCTTAGGTCATGATCTCGCGGTTCGTGGGTTCGAGCCCCGCGTCGGTCTCTGTGCTGACTGCCAGCTCAGAGCCTGGAGCCTGTTTCAGTCTGTGACTTCCTCTCTCTCTGACCCTCCCCCACCCACGCTGTCTCTCTCTCTCTCCTAGAAATAAATAAAACATTAAAAAAAAAAAAAAAGAAATGGGATAGGGATGAATGCGTTGTTGCAGGGTTTGGAAGCAAAAAAAAAAAAAAAAAAAAAAAAAAAAAAATGACCCAGCTACAAAGACTGGGTTGGTGACAGTACCCACCAGCCAAGCAAGGTCAGTAAGCACCTCTGGTTTTCAAGAGGCCAGGACATTTTTACTCATCGTTTCTATTGAGCCACAATAGGACACAGCCGGGGGCTTTATATAAGTATCTTATTCCTGAAGAAGCGTATTTCCACTGAAGTTTTGTGACCCGGATCCTATTCTAATTGCAAACTAATGGGAAATCTAAGTGAAAAGCCCTTTAGCAAAGCAAATGATCATCACCAATGTCCCTGGCTCTGTAACTCATCATTTCCCCAGAATGGCCTCCGGGCACCTCTCAAGTCCTGAGCAGTCGCAGGCTGGTTAGATAAAGTGCCCAGCCAGCACCGCCCGGACACTCACCACCGCGTCACTGTCATAGAGCTCCACCACCACCAAAGGCGGGGACTCCACCAGCTCCTTCTGGTCTCCATGCAGCACCAAGTCATTGAACAACAGCATCTGGTTCCAGGTTGGGGAGAGGGTCTGGGAAATGACCTGGAAGGTGGGGCCAAAAGAAAAGCACAAGATCATTCGACAGGGTTGTAGGGGGCAAGGTGCATTCATTCAACAGTTCCTTGTGGAGGGCAAAGGGGACACGTCCTTGTCATCCTTGCTCAGTCATTTAACATCCAAGTGACGATATAAGGTGATGTACTACCACTGGGTCCTAGATGCTGGGGGATGCAGACCCCCCACCCCAGAGAGCTTACAGAAATTCATGAGTACAGCCCTGCAATGATTACCACCTCATTTGCATACATAATTTCAACTCAATCCTCCCAACAGCCTCTGCCGGTAACACCAGCCCCCTCCGTTGAGCACTGTGTCCCAGCTGCTGTACGTTATATGCATGGCCTCATTCAGACTTCACACCCATCCTGGGAGGTGGATACAGTTATCTACTCATATTTTATAGAGCAGAAAACCAAGGCTCACTTGTCTGGAGCCAGGAAGTGGTAGAACTGGGATTCAACCTGACTCATCTGGTACCAAAGCCCAGGCTGCTAGCTAGGCTCATGCACCCTCACCGAGTAGATGCTAATATTATCTCCATTTTATGGGAGGGCAAATTGAGGAGGAGGGCGATCTAGTGATTCTTCACTTATGAGCAAATAAAATTTTGTCATCAAAAGTGGGGGTTAACTCTAATATTCCTTGTATGGAATTCTACTGTTTTGTGGATATTTGACTGCACTGAATTAGCCAGAGTCTTCAAAATAACCTTCATTATTTTGCATGACGTCTTTTCTTCTAAGATGGCAAACTGCGACATTGGTAATTGGCTGTGTCCATCATACAGATGGAGATACCAAAGGACAGAGGACAGCAGTCTGCGTTATTGATTGGGAACCGTGAGTGCCTCACCCAAAAGTGGCTCACAGCCCCCTGCCAGGCCATTCGACTGCTACCCTTAAAAGGGGGTGTGTCATTGGTCTTGTATCCTCTACTCTAGTTATTTGGATGTTTGTACACCTGCCAGTTTCACAGAGCTGAAGACCGGGGTTGTCTGCAGGACGGGTGGGCTCTGCATTTGGGCAGAAACTAAGGTGTTAATGTGTGGGGTGAGTCTTGGGAAGATGCCACGTGGCACATTTCCCTCTTCCTCAGGCTGTGTGGACAAATGGGTGATTTCACAGGTGAACACAGCTCAGTGGCTGCTGGGTCCTGGGGAATTTCCACAACCCCGTTGAACTACACCCTTACTTCTCACTGCGCATGCCAGAGGGGCCAGAGAAAGATCTAGCCTGGGCTAACTTCTCAGACTCCAAAGAATAAATCTGTCATTTCAGACTTTTGCATCAGGAAGCATCTCTAGTCAAGATGTTAAACCATTGGCACTGTGGTCAGAGAATTTTCTATTCTTCTTTGTGTCAGTCATAAAATATGCATTCTACATTTCCTTCCTTTCTTGCTTTTTGCTTCTAGAGTATTTTATGCCTCAGACACAGTGATGTTTTTGACATAACATCTCAGAGAAAACCTTAACTTTTTGGACAGGAAAAAAATGGTTTCGACTCACCTATGAACAGGAGTTATATAGTTGCGATGAAAAGTTATCTGGCATGGCTATCTGACATCACAAAGAAACCTGGGTTTTTATGTTGCTTTTAAAAAGAGAAATGTGAACTCTTTTGCAGTAGGTACACAAAAATGTGATACCAAAGCAATTCATGATCCTCACAACATCTTTCCTATAGAACTATTTTGATGGCTTCCTTGGCACTTTGGGCTATAAATACCTCCTGATAAGATTCCAGAGGCCAGTATTCTTTCATTCAACATGTATTTATTAACACATTCAGCATACGATGTGCCAGGCACAGTACTAGGCACCAATATGACATCCTGAGTATAACAGGTGCTCAAGAGCTATTCACATGAATAAACAAATGGATACTGGCCTATCCTCAGAGTTGTTCCCATGAGTATAAGGCAATGTGGCCACTTTCAAAAGGTACTAAAAGGCTCACCCAAACAAAAATACATTGTCCCACTTCTCTGCCAAGGTGCCCATGACTAGCTCCCCTTCTTCGGGGCTTCATTAAGGAGCTCTGCATTGTGACTGTTTGATGACTTTGGGAGACTTTGGTAGCACCTAGCTAATACTTTGAAGAAGGAGTAAGAAACTCTGGATGTAGCATGGCTTTAGAATCAGATACCTCTGGAGTGGAACCTTAGTTTCATCACTTGCCTCTTTCCAACTGGCGCAGGCGATTTAACCCCTGTGAACCATACTTTCCCTTGTGTAAATGGAGCTAGTGCCTACCTTGTCAGGTTGTTATGCCCACTGTCTTAGATAAAGCGTATTAAGGGCCTGGCACACAGTAGGTGCTCAGTGAGTGCCTGTTCCCCATCTGACTCGACCCTACCACACCACTGATGAATAAGTAAGCAGTTACTGCACACCTGGTGCACTGGGTACTCATGTCTCACAAGAGACCATCCATGTCCCCAGGACTCTGATCACTGGAAACCTCAGGCTCCACACTCCCCACCCTCTGCCATGTCCTCTCCTGTCTTCTGAGGCTCCTCTCAAGCCACTCAGTCCCTCTCCCCTTCTGTCTCCAAAGCCTTCTCTTTGGGGAGCTGTCTCCCTTTCCCTTGATACTTTGGTCACCATGAGATTTCTCAATCCCCATCCTCAGTGGCCTCTGGAATAACTAGGTGTCCCTTCTGAAATATTTCAGATCAGTATGTCACTTTAGAGAGGACCGGTTGCGGGACCAGCCCTGCCGAGACTGCTCCCCCTGAGCTCGGGTGTGGTCAGTTCAGACACGTGCTACCTGGTGAGCAGTGCAGCTCAGCTAGGACCGTGGGTCAGCTTTCCCCGTCACGAAGGGTGCGAGAAAGGGCACGTCACACACAGCCTCTGAGGCAACATGACACTGAGATGGCGGAGGGAATCAGAACCCTTGCTCACCCCAATGGAAAGCAAAGTGGCTTTGTAAGTGGACCAAGGTGGGTTTCCATTTTGGCTCGACCACCTTCTATCTATATAGTCCCTGAGTCTTCCCTTCTCACCTGCCCAATAGGGACGCTGATAACATCCACCTTTAGGCTGCCATGAGATGTAGTAAACAACGCATATAAAATGCTTAGCATTATGCCTGCATATTAGGAGCTTTTGATAAATGGCAGGCATTATTACTGACAAAAATTAGGTACTTGGTTCAAAAGTATAGAGGCAAAGTCCAGAGCTCAACAGAAGCTGTTTTCCCTTTCAAATGATTATTTGATAATTGCCATTTGTTCCTTTGAGATATGAGTCCAAATCAAATGAGGCTATTGTATAGAGAGGCAAAATAAGAAGATAATCCCATATCAGCCCTGAGCTCACTCAAACCCCTTCCGCACCCAGGGCTCAAGATCACCAGGGCCTGGAACCCCACCATTTTGTGGCAGATGGAGGAAGGCCTCGGGGAGAATCCTCCTCGCTTCTGGTGGGAAGCCTCAGTGACAATAATAAGGAGTCACATAGAAGCAGTTACAAGCAAGGCACTGTCCTGGGTGGTTTACCCTCTGGGAAATATATACGATGTCATCATTGTGAGGCCTTTGTTTAAGGTCACACAACCAACAAATGGAAGAGCTTGGATCTAAACCCAAACAATGTGGCTCCAGAGTCTATACTCTAACCACTGAGCTAGGCACTACCCCTGAAGGCACAGAGATGAGAGAGTAGTCTGGAGTCTCCATGTTTTATGTGTTCTCATGCTCCTTCACTAAGTGAGGATGGAGTCACCTTCCTTCTGGGGTCTCTCTTGACTCCCCCCTCCCACAGAACTAACCCCTCTCCTGTGGCTCTCGGAAGACTTTGAATAGCCCCACATCATAGGGTATTTCACGGTGCAGCCCCCGAGCCCAGCAAGCACCTGTCACAGAGCAAGAACTCCGCAGCTGCTGGAGAAATGGACAAAATGATCTTGGTCTGCGTGTCACAAATCAAACACAATCTCCCAGGTCACAGGCCTTTCTTTGGAGAGAAATGTCAGCTTGTGTAACATTAGGCAATATAACAGGCTCCATTCATCAATCACTTTATACACTTAACTTTGGGCTTCTTCACAACAGCCCTATTTTAAGATGACAGATGGAGGTTTAGTGAGTGAATGGAGGCCAGAGAGCAGATGAGCTAGAACAAAACCTCAGGTCTCTTTGGGCCCTTGGTGTTTGTCTTAACTCCCAAAGATGAGCAAATCCTTTGTGAACTCTCCTCTCTCAGAACAGGAATCCTCAAGGAACAAAGTCAGGCCTTGGAGAATACGATCTAATAGGAAAAGCATCCAATTGGACGTCCTCTGATTAGGGTCCCTTCCACTTTTCGGCACTCAGTGTATAGGAAAGGGAGAGAGCCCAGAGCAAAGTGGTATAGACCCAATTCCTTTAATCCTCACACCATCCATTAGGAAGTAGTGTTTTCCAGAGCAAGACATCACATTGCACAGTTGAAAGTGTGCAAAGTCCCCCAGCTGGTGAGTAGAAAGAAACAGTGCTAAGTCTAGGGCTCCCTGACCATAAAGCTGGGAAACGTTCCTCCCCACCAAGACCCCTCAATAAAGGCTGGATCATAAGCCTCATGCGGCAGTATCTGTGTGCTGTTTTCTCATGTGTTTGTTCCCTCACTGAACTTGGCCTTGTGCGCAGCACTTGGGCAGGTGCACTAGATGTGCCAGGTTTCCCTTCTCCTCCTCATCCCTCTTCCCCACCCCCTTCCTTCACCTCAGGTACATGCTCTCTTGGCTGCAGGACAATGGGTCACATTGGAACAAGACACATTCCGCATGGCGATCCTTCCTTATACATGTGCTTTGGCGTCTGAAATCTACATACCCAGAGACACAGGTATTTGCAACATGCCCCTGTTCTCTTTGCGGTGCTCTACTACAGATCAGCTGTGGGCTGCAAGAAGAAGGCAGATGGGCTTCCCTGGTTACCTTTGTGGTCTGGCAGTGGGAAAGGAACGTGACTTTGGCAAAGGGGTCTGAGAGTCCATTGCTGTCCGCTGCGATGAGGCCCCGGGCTTGATACATGTGCGCTCTCAGCTGAAAGACATGCCGGGCTGTGGACAAGTGGAAATAGGCAGGCGTCAGTGGGCTCTTCCCAATAGTGAGTACGACAGGTGTCTGTGCGCTGTTGTGAATCTGTGAGTGTCCGGAGGCCAAGAGTGGGAGCACCACTCGCCTCTGAGACTGAAACAGAAGCAGTGAAGACAGGGGAAGAGGGGATACCTATGGGGTACTTCGGAGCCACGCATTCTCCTTGGCATCTTCACCACATCATGGGTTTTGATTTTCATAATAACCTTGGAATTACATATATAATCATCCCCATATATGTATGAGGGAAATGGCTCACAAAAAAGGCTACAGAAATTTCCCGTTTGCAGAGCTATCAAATGCCAGAGCCTGGATTTCATTTCTGTCAGATTCCAAATTCACCTTCTCTTTCTTATCATTTACTGTTGAGAGAGAGACAGAGTGCAAGCAGGCAAGGGGCGGGCAGACACACACACACACACACACATACACACACACACACACACACACACAGAATCCAAAGCTCCAGCAAAGCTGTCAGCACAGAGCCCAATGCAGGGCTCAAACTCCATAGACTGCAAGATCATGACCTGAGCCGAAGCTGGACACTTAACCAACTGAGCTGCCCAGGCGCCCCTCTAAAAGACCACATTTTGTTTTAGTAATTCTCTAGTTTCCACTGGCCCACATGCGCGTGTGTGTGTAAGAAAGGGGCTGCTCCACTAATAGCTCTTGCTTCCATAAACTCTTGAGTCAACCACTCATCCATTCTTTTTAAAAAAAATTTTTAACGTTTATTTATTTTTGAGACAAAGAGAGACAGAGCACGAGCTGGGGAGGGGCAGAGAGAGAGGGAGACACAGAATCTGAAACAGACTCCAGGCTCTGAACTGTCAGCACAGAGCCTGATGCGGGGCTCGAACCCACGGGCCACAAAATCATGACCTGAGCCGAAGTCAGATGCTTAACCAACTGAGCCCCCCAGGCGCTCCAACCATTCATCCATTCTTCCATTCAGCCAGCCAATGTCATCTTGAGTGCCTACTGTGTACCAGGAACAGTCTGGTCTAAGGACTGTGAAGTGGCTAAGACAGTCCCTGCCCTCTGCCGTCGGGGAGCTCCAGGAAGAGAACAGAATATAAGACAAGCAGAATATAAGACATCTCAGTGACAGGAGGCCAGGGACTGGCATCCTGTCAAACTACAAGCAGAGGACATGGAGGTTAAAGGCAGGAGTGAGCGCATCTGTTGACGGGATGGGAGCAGACAGGGCCGCAGGTGAGGGCAGATGAGGGTTGACTGGCAGAGTCCCAAGTAAGAGTTGACTTGTCATATTCCTGGGTTCGTGGGACTTTGTAAGGCCCCTCTTGTTTTTTATGTTCACTTCCTCCTTTTTACCCCCTTTCCCACTCCTGTTCTCTCTCTCCCCCAAAGGCAATATTATACTGCGTTCAGGGTATCAGTGTTTTGTGCTGATGTAGGATACAGAAACTCTTACATACCAATTTGACTAGCCCTACTTTGTTAAAATAAGGGTGCAGATACCACCTCATCTTCCCCCCAGGCCATTCCTAGGCTTATGTCACACAGGCCTGTACATGGGCTCATACAAAGTTACTAACCCTCTTGGTGCCTTTGTTTTCCTCACCTATAAAATGGGGGTAATAATAGTTCTTCAGAGGGTTAATGTAGGAGATCAAAGGACAAGGTGCCTGACACAGAGGAAGAACTTTATAAGTGCTATGAGGATGCTGGTATGGCTGTTACTATTGTTCATTGTAGTGTGACCTGTGGTGGTGGCAGCTGGGGCCACCTGGGCGTCCCTCAGAGCCACATATGCAGCCACATACAGCACTAGGGGGAACCTTTTATTTGGTCAAGGTTTTTGTTTTTCTGAAATCTCTTACCAACTCTGTTCCTTAGGCTAATAAAGTCAGTTTCCTCTTAGCTCTCACAATATGGTGGTCCATGTCTTGTTTTGTAGTTCATTTTCTACAAATGTGGTTGGTAGAGATGTGTCTGATTGCCCCCACTTAAGTGACAGATGACCCCTCTCTCGTTTCTACATCCCCCACTAGTTTTCCCACCATGCCTGCCACATGTAGGTACAAACTAATGATTGGTTGGATGGATATTTTCTGAAGCACAAAGTGAGTGAAGAAACAAAATTCTCCAGTGGGTTTGGAAGGCAGCCAAAGCCATCAATGTCAGTGCACAGCAGAGAAAGTTTATTAGGTCACTCCATGAAAATAACACACTGCAGAGGATTAGAAAGCTCTTGAAAAAGTCTTTCTTCTCCTTTGAACTGTTAGTTGCTAGGACAGCAAATATGTCTGGGTACCTTAGATCTCCAGAGATAGTATTTTAGAAATATGAAGATAACTTGATATGGGTGTCTTTCACCCAAAGATGAAATCTCTTTATCCTTTTTTAACTGTTTTAATGTTTATTTATTTTTGAGAGAGAGAAACAGACTGTGAGTAGGGGAGAGGTGGAGAGAGAGGGAGACATAGAAGCCGAAGCAGGCTCCAGGCTCTGAGCTGTCAACACAAAACCTGACACAGGGCTTGAACTCATGAACTGTGAGATCATGACCTGAGCCAAAGTCAGATGCTTAACCAGCTGAGCCACTCAGGTGCCCCAAGATGAAACCTCTTTAAAGACAGGATGAAAAGCAATGGAAGTAAAGCAGAGTCTGGAGAAGTTGACTTCATTATTTACTAGCTGTGTGATGTTGGGCAATTCTCAAGCATTTCTGATGCATCCTTTCTCCCTCTGTAAAATGAAGAAACTGCCCAGGATTTATGTGACAAGAAAATTCAATATAATGTATAAAGTAGATGGAACAATGCTTGGTACATGGAATGGGCCATGCATTTTCCAAAAAAAACAGGGCTGAGCTGTCCTCATTCTTATGCATTGACCCTGGGCACAGAAATCATGAGCTGAACTACTGGATAAACATCCTTAGAGCCTTCTAACTATTGAACCACTTAGATTCCACTGGCACTTAAGGTCAATCGACATCAGACGAGTCTTGGGTAACAAAGAAAGCCTGGATTTGTGGACAATTCTGTGCTTCCAACAATGGTTCAATTTAAAACTTAACTTCAGTTGAAGTGAAGGGAAAACTGTCATCTACTCTGTCTTAGTTCCCAGCAAAGAACCTGCAAATTGAAGCAATTTGGAAACAGAAAGCAAATTGCAACTATAAGTTATTAATATTTATAATAAAATCCAAAATGATATGAAAACGTAAACATAGTGGCCCTCATAGAGGAAAGGATTACATAAAGCATGCTGAATTTCTCAAAGTGACCACATCGGGAACCAAGCTGAAGAAATACCAGGGACCCCAGGGATACCAGTTCCCATTGGGTCATTACTGGCAATTGCAAATGCCCACTGTTTACAGGTCAAAACCCTAGTGCCATGTATAAGGAACTGCACATGTCATAAGAACACACTGATGTGTTTTTAAAAGGCACCTTCTGCTTCAAGCAAACTCAGTCCATATAATCTGCCTACAAAAACACTCAACTGCAATTCTCTCCATTAGCAGAAAAACATAAACATTTACTCCAGATGTATTTAATGATTTCCCCTTATTCTTTTGAGATGGGACAATTGGAAGGTAAGGAAGAAAATTAAGAAACTGTATTTTAAAAGGGAAATGAGTTTATCCTAAAATAATGTGCAAACAGCCCATGCATGGCACCCTCCTCATTGTTTTCTCCGAAGCCTGATGGAGACACCTAATGACCTTCTTTGTTGGGTGGGCATCATACCTGGGTAGAGCAGGCTGGTTGGGGGTTGAGGGGTTCCAGCCACTTTGGAAGACATCTCCGCTTCATAGCCTGCTGGCAAGTTGTCCAAAATGGCACTGGAGTGTCTGGTGGAGCCCAGCCACAGGTACACGTCGACCTTTGCTTGCACGGACCAACCAGCCGGCCGTTTTCCAGGAAGCTGGGGAAAGGTTACGAGGAAGACCACTTGGTTAGGAGGAGGCTCACTCTTTGAGAAAAGAGGTCCTGTGGATCTGGGGACACAGCCAGGGCAGGTATTCAGAGAGCAGTTCTCAGGACATAATTTTTTTTAATGTGTATTTGTGAAAGAAAGGGCAAAAACTGGGGAAGAGCAGAAAGAAGGGGACAGAGGATCCCAAGCAGGCTCCATGCTGACAGCAGACAGCCAGGTGCGGGGCTCGAACTCACAAACTGTGAGATCATGACCTGAGTCGAAGTTAGACGCTTAACTGACTGAGCCACCCAGGTACCCCGTAATCTTATATCAAAATGAGACTGATGGACTCCAGTTGCCATCATGCATGATCCCAAAGGAGGCTCCAGGTTTAGTGGGCCTGAAGCTTAAATAGGCACTTCTGAGCCCTGGCTCATTTAAATCTACCAGGAAGGTATTATTATTACTGCTGTTTGTATATATGAGGAAACTTGGACTCAGAGAGGCTAAAGAAGAGCGCTTAGATCGCTCAGCTTTCAAGTGACAGACCCGGAACCAAAACCCAGAGGAGACACTTCCAGATCTAGATGCTAGACTCTGTACCCCCATAGCTTGCCTCTTCCTACACTGAGTTGAAATCCCCCTTCCTAGAACTTCTAAGCACCTGGAATCCCAACCCAAACACAGCTTCTACCTCTTTGCTTCCTTCAGAGGGACTCACGTGCTTCTTCCATAGGCCAGCCCCCCTGTGCTTGAAGGAACTTACCAACCCTACCATGTCCTTTCTTCCTGGCTTAACCATCTCTAGTCCCTTCATCGCTTCCTCATGCAACGTCGTTTAAATTCTCTTTCTACCCTGCATGCTCTTCTTTGCATGCACTCCAATTTGGATTTATATTTATGTTTGTTGGAATCTGTGTGTTCACGTATTAGTATAGGTGGCTTGAGTCTGTGCGCATACAGATGTACGTGTGTGGGTGCATGTGTTCTCAAGATGTGGAGGATATAACTCGGTGTAGTATGGCTTCTTTATTCCTCAGTCACCAGGATTAGGGGATTCCTTCCCCATTAAAGGAGTCCCAAACCCCAGACTTGGCTGTGTTCAGAATTGTGGCCAGACCTTCATTTTTAGAGTGGCTACCTCTCCAGATTTTGTTGACTCTCCTAAGTGTCACCTAGTGTTTCTTAGGATTTCCTATCAAAATTGTCCACTTTCTTCGGCACCACTTATTTTCCAGAAGGAATCACAAAATCCTACATGAGAGGCTACAGTTTGCTCTGACAATTTCCAAGGCACCCATGCTTGGAATTCATGAAACCATGAATTTGAAACCCAAATTCAGCATGGTTTTTTACCTTTCTCTCTCGCTCTGTAGGTCCCTTAAGTGGATTTTCAGCAACTCAATTCAGCAACCACCTGAAGGGCCATTAGGCCTTACTAAAGCAGTGGGGTCAGGAAGGCGTCATAATGACCATGACACACTCCCGGGCCTCCCTTCATTGGCTCACAAGGAGACCGACTTGCATTCCTTTATTTAAATACAAGGTCAAGGGTAAGAAAGAAACTGCTAAGGGAGCAGAGAAGTAGCAGCAAGTGTCTCTATCTTTTCTTTATGAGCCAAATATTTTACTGGGCTTTAATGGGTACTTCAGGAGATGGACCAGTAGAGAAGATATCCCAGGAAGAGGAAAGGCATGAACAAAGACACAGGGGTGGCAATTAACAGTGGTGATACAGGCTAATGTGTGGTGAGTGCTTACTCGGGGTCAGAAAGGGATTTGCTAAAAGTTTTCAGAAAAGAAAGAGCTGGAGCAGAGAATGACACAGACGAGGATGAGGAATCCTGCTCATTACGGGGATGAGCTCAGATTGTATTCTTTAGGGACTTGGATGCCGTTGCTTACTCAGCTTTAAAAAAAAAACAAATAAGGTCATTTTGTTGTTGGCAAAGACAATCGCTCTGCAACTCATTATTTTAAAAATTATAAGAAATCATCCTCAACTCACCACTTCTGTAATAATAGTAATAATAATAATAGTTAAAATGCATTAAATTTGTTCAATAAAACAAATATTTATGAGAGCCTAAGGTTATTCTGTTGTAATAAAAAGTAATCCCTTTGCTATCTATAGACATCACTAGGATATTGCTTCACAAAGGCAGGGATTTTTATCTATCCGTTCACTGTGAGGTCCCCACAAGAGTGCTTGGCATTTATGAAGTACTCAATAAATGCTTGTCAGGTTATTAATTTATGTTTCTAATAATAATTGTATTTTACACATGCTGAGCACTTACACTGTCCTAGGTCTTTCTCACGTTTCTCCCCACATACACAGTGTCCTAGTACTTACATACTATTAATGAGCCATGGGTTATCATTCATCTTCATGGTGACTGAAAAGTAAGTATTTTTATTATGTGTACTTTGAAGATGTAGAAATGGGGGTTCAGAGAGGTTAAGATAATTGTCTACTGTCACAGAGCAAGGAGAAAATGACCCAGGACTCAATCCTGCTCTACCCCACTCCAGAACCCATACTCTTAGCCAGGGCTCCTCACACTGATCTATCTGCATGAAGTGCCTGGGCATCTGATTAAAATGCAAATTCTGGTTCAGTAGGTCTTGTGATTCTGCATTTCTCCCTCACGGTGTGGATGCTGCTGGTCTATGACCACAGTGTTAAGTATTTGAATAGCAAGACTTACTATCTGCATCACCCCAAGCAGGTCTGATATCCTTTGCTTTCATCTTAAAGTAAAACAACAACAAACACGTCATTCACTCCACTGCTATGAAAACCTGGGTATGCGGATTCACGGTTAGGACCAGTACCTCAGCTAACATCTTGGGAAATGTTACATAAGCACCACTGCTGCACTCCTCAAGTTTGCAGTTTACACATCTTTTAAAAGATACAAATTGAAATTGCTTGCAAGACGCTGCAGGATGTCTCACTCCAGAATCTCAGGTGGAATTCCTGCAACATTACTGAGTTGCAGTAACTTAACACATCTAAGTGCTTTTGGAAAGAGCATCTCATGTTCAACTGCAAATCATGTTTCATCTGGGGTCTCTTTCCCTGACTCCCCTGCTTCCCCAGTTCCTTTTCTCTCTCATGTGCTCCTAAAGGACAATTTCTTTCCTTTTGAGAACAGCATGGTAAGGGGGGGGGGGCGGGCAGAAAAAAATAATTAAAGAAACAAAAGTGCATTTGAAAACTATGATCACCAATGTATACAAATTGCATGAGACAGAATGCTATAGTCTTAGCCTCTCCCAAGCCCCACCCACCTCCTCCCAGGGTTATGGTGAATGCCAGCTGGCTTTTAAAAACAGGGGAAGTCCCTATGACCCAGCAATAGCACTTCTAGGAATTAACCCAAGGGATAAAGAAATGCTGAGGCATAGGAGCACATGTACCCCAATGTTCATAGCAGCACTCTCCACAATAGCTAAAACATGGAAAGAGCCTAAGTGTCCATCAACAGACGAATGGATCAAGAAGATGTGGTTTATCTATACCATGGAATACTAAATGGCAATGAGAAACAATGAAATCTGGCCATGTGTAGCAACATGGATGGACCTTGAGGGTGTTATGCTGAGCGAAATAAGTCAGGCAGAGAAGGACAAATATCATATGTTTGCACGTATAGGAGGATTAGGAGGAACTTGACGGAGGAACAAGGGGGAGAAGAAGGGCGGAAATGGGGGGGAAAGGGAGAGAGGCAAACCATGAGAGACTCTTGAATGCTGACAAAAACTGAGGACTGATGGATGTGGGGGGGAGAGGGGATGGGCATGGAGGAGGCTACTTGTGGGGATGAGCACTGAGTGTTATGTGGAAACTAATTTGACAATAAACTATTTGTAAAAAATAAAAAATAAAAATAAATAAACAATAAAAACAGGGGAAGTCTTGGCAAGTCAGAAAAAGGAGCCAGAGATGGTTAATTCACACAGATTGTGCTGAAGTTGGTCAACTAGTATCAGAAAGAGAGGGTTTGCTTGCTTTGTAGACGTTTGTATGTGGCAGGACCCAATCATCACTTTGTGCCGCATCCTAGATAAATGTGGACTGAAAGCTGGGGTCCTGAGGACTGACTGGACTCAGGAGATAGGATAGAGATGGAGGCAAGATCAATGAGGGGCTCTCTGGAGTCCAGCTGGGGGTGAGGGGTATTCACATGAAGCCATGATTCCAGGAAAAGAGAAAAGGAAAATGGAGCACCACCCTCTAGCTGGGTTCTGAGCACATTCAGCTCCTCCCACAGGGAGCTTCCTTTGGGTCACATCTTTTTCCACCCTGTGGCCACTATCCTTTTCCAACCTGCGGCCACTACGGGTAAGGTGGGGAGGAGACCGCAGTGGGAGAGCTCTGCTCTTTTGGATGGTGGATTGAGCTGAGCTTAGCAAATTTTGTTCCAGCGATTCCACCCTGTTCACTATAGCATTATGAATATATTTAAATTAGAAAAAAAAAGAAAGATGGGGTGCCTGGGTGGCTTAGTTAAACCTATGACTTCAGTTTAGGTCATGATCTCATGGTTTGTGGGTTCGAGCCCCGTCTCGGGTTCTGTGCTGACAGCTCGGAGTCTGGAACCTGCTTTGGATTCGGTGTTTCCCTCTCTCTCTGCCCTTCCCCTGCTTGTGCTCTCTCTCTCTCTCTCTCTCTCTCAAAAATGAATAAACATTAAAAAAAATTTTTTTAAGAGAAAGATCATGGAACCAGGAACCAGGATTTACTATTACCATTTACTATTTATTTGGCCATGTGACTTCAGATGACACACTTTAGTTTCCTCTAGATTAACATTCCCCGAACTGGACCCCTAGTAAAAGTAGTTTCATAACATTTGTAAAGAACTATTCTAGATGAATAAGGTTGGCAAGCACGGGCTGTAAAAGTTAAAGATGTTTCCTGACTGCAGAACTTCTGGAAGCCTTCCGCCAGCTAATGGGCACCGTGACACCCCTCGAGAGGATGCAACTGCAACCTCCCAAATGGATTTGAACATGGAAGTTTGTGGAGCCAGGAGCTGTTGCACAGCATAAACTCTGAGGAAACTCTGGCCTAGAGATTTTTGAGGTTTGCAGTCTATTATCTGTCTTCCTGCACTTTTAATTCTCAGCTAAGAAATCAGAGTGAGCGGCAGGCAGTGAACACTTTGCCTCCCTGATGCCACTCTTGTTTTCTTCAGATTTAGCATTTCGGTGAAGAGAAACGGACAGAAACAGAGATGGAGAGAGGGAATGAAAAGCAATGGTGACAATCAAATCAGAATGGAAAGGGTTCTGCTGAATCATCTTATCTAGATGATTCATCAAGTCAGTGCAAATGAATTAAACGACATTTAAAAAGCTATTGCCCAGAGTGATTGCAATGACAAAAGGAAAATACAGACAAAGACGTCAGCGAGGGCCACAGGGCGAAGATTCTGAACTCTCAGTTATGTCCAACCTCTGGTTTTATTTGACAGTTAGTTGTTCTTTGTTCTAATTTTAAATAAGGCCAGCAGACATCAAACTATTTGGGAGGAAGTAACTTTACACTGATTTTCTAGTATTTTTAGCAGAGCCCTCTGAAACGATTTGCTATTTTTAGGACAAATGTTTCTCGTGACCCCAGAATTCCTTGGATGGAGAAACTTGAAGAGAAGCCCTGACATTTGTGGTAAATAACTAGAGTGAACATTTTTTTTGGTTACCATTTTACAGGGACCAGTTAAAAAATCATATTATACACATGACGGAAAACAACATACATGACAAAAACAACATGCGTTACAGAAAATAACATACAGAGCCACAAATACTTCAGCAGATATGAAGGGGCACACAATTCAGACACATCCCCTAGATATTGGATGCCAATCTGTTTGAGTGCCAACACTGACTGAGTGATTACCCTGGATGATATACACTCTGCGTTCTTTACAGACAGTTATCCACTTAACCCTCAGCACCATCTCCATTTGATGGCTGAAGAAGAGGAGACACAGAGATGTTAGGTAACTTGCCCAAGGTCATGCACCCTGTAAATATTAGCCCCAGAATTCTGTAATGGGTTAAACTGTATTCCCCTAAAATTCATACATTGAAGTCCTACCACTCATGGGCTTAGAATAAGACTTTATTTGGTAATACGGTCATAGAAGATACAGTTAACATGAAGTTAAAACTGCAGTGTGATTCTTTTTTTTTTTTAATATTTTTATTTATTTCTAGGAGAGAGAGAGAGAGAGAGACAGCGTGAGCAGGGGAGGGTCAGAGAGAGAGGGAGATACAGACTCTGAAACAGGCTCCAGGCTCTGTGCTGACAGCACAGAGCCCGATGCAAGGCTCGAACCCACAAACCGCAAGATCATGACCTAAGCAAAAGTCAGATGCTTAACCGACTAAGCCACCCAGACGCCCCAACTGCAGTGTGATTCTTAACAAAAAGGACATCATGTGAAGAGGGATACATACCCACAGGGAGAACACAATGTAGAGATTTGAGTTATGCTCCTACTGGCCAAGAACTGCCAGAAGTTAGGACAGGTGCTTCCCTAGCGTTTTCAGAAGGAGCATGGCTCTGCCAATGCCTTCATCTCAGATTTCCAACCTTTAGAATTGTGAAATAATACGTTTCTGTTGTTTAAGCCACTCGGTGGTACTTTGTTACAGCAGCCCTGATAAACTAATACAAATTCCAACCAGATTTACCTCATTTCAAAGCCTAAGTATTAAACGATTATCCCCTACAACATTTGATAATGTCTCTTCTGTCTGCAACATTTAATAATCACATCTAAGTAGACTCTAAAACATTTGGATGGCACTTAGAGGCTATCCAATCTACCTGCCCATTGCCATATTTATATCAAAAGGACTAAGATCAAATATGGACCTCCATATAGGAAACCATTTCCCTCTCATGGCTATCATAGGGCCTGGTTAGATCCTCTGGAAACACATACACATACTCACTCACTCACTCAACTCACCATCCATGTGGTAGCCCTACAAATACTAAAAATCTCTATCAGGACATCAAATCTTCTCTTCTCAGTTAAACATTGTTATCTCTTCACCCATTCTTCATACGGTATGGTTAATGAGCCTTATCACCCTCCCCCTGAAGCAGTGGAAGATAATTATGTTGTAGCAAGAAATCAGAACTACAATTTCCAGGAAAATCTCCTATGAGTTGGGAAGAGTTAGTCAGTCAAATTATACATTCTTGTCAGTCACTGGTGAGTGCCAAGCCCCTTGACCACTTTTTCTCCATATTTTTTCAAGTTTGCTTCTGAGATAGAAATTTATAGTATAGGTAAAATACCCAGGGTCTCCAAGAAAGGCTCAAATTTTGATTTAGAAACAGTAGCATCCATCCAGAGACTGTACCTATGATTATCCACTCATGATGCATCAGGGGAGACATCAGGTGACCTATCTGCCTGAAGGGTACAGGGAACCTAAATGAAATTTCACAACTGGAAGCCACCAGGAATCTTGAACTGCCAGTTCTGTGAAATACAATCTTTTTTTCTTGTAATTTTCCTTGAAATCTATTTTTTAAAATGTAGATGAACTCATGTGAAGAGATGTCATGGATAAATTATGCAAGAGAAAAGGTAGAGAGAAAACTAATAGAAAAACGGTTAGTTTTCCTAATGATCAAGGAAATAAAAATTAAAGCAACCTTGAGGTACATCTGCTACATTAAAAAAAAAAAAACCCTTTCATATGTGTCTGTTGACATGGTAATGGAAAACTGGAGAATATTCAGCCTCAAGATGGTCTACTAAATCACAGTTTGAATCAAGAGGAGACAAGGTATTTCAGCTGTCTGTCCTCAGACCTTTGAAAGTGTTGGGGAAAAGTCAGAGACATGGACACACATGAAGAATGCTGAGAGACTCAGGAAAAGCAGAGATTTCCTATCGTTGAGTCAAAAATAGTGCAGACTTACTTTGAGGAAATGAGTTTTGATCTTCCCACAGTGTTTGCCCATCTGCTCACTGACAGGGGAATAGAGCAGGTCCTTGGAGGCGATGCGGGCATATGCCACTTTCCTGTTGTTGCTGAGCATCCAGATGAAGACATCAGGGATGGTGTGCTGTGGCTGTGGAACGGAGGGAAATGGATTTGATGGGTTGGTGCTTAACAAGTACCCTTCCAAAATTCTCCTCCCTGAGACAGTCCCTCTCTGTAAAACAAATTCTGTGACTTAAACCATCAAGGCACTTAAACGTCTATGCAATCAAGCAAGTTAAGCGTAGCTTCTTTGGGAAAGCCTTATGTCATGACTTGTAAGTACATATAAACACCATTATGTCTAACTTGGCTACTGTGTCTTAAGGACATGCAAGTGGGATCCATGATTTGACATCTTTGGTGGCCTACTTTTCTCCATCTATGAAAAAATTTCTTCCCCTTTTGTTGTTGTTGTTGTTTTTTGTAATCATGTAATGATTTAGACTCGAACATTGGTCCTCCTAAGAGCCAGGTAGCTTTCCAGAATATTCAAACGAAAAAGCAAAAGCAAACATCCATGAATGTCTTTCTATTTGCTCTTTTTTAAATTTTTTTAATGTTTATTTACTTATGAGGAAGAGGGACAGAGTGTGAGTGGGGGAGGGACAGAGAGAGATGCACACAGAATTAGAAGCAGGCTCCAGGCTCTGAGCTGTCAGCGCATAGCCCAATGCGGGGAATGAACTCACGAACTGTGAGATCATGACCTGAACCGAAATTGGACGCTTAACTGACTAAGCTACCTAGGCACCCCTCTATTTGCTCTTAAGGAAGGAAAAACAATTCTTCAAAGGACTTTAGACCTAAAATATGGTTACCAAGTATTTTAGCTCTATTTTAGGTTGTTATTCAGGAGAAATCTGACTAACTTACACATTAAATTCTACTTTAAAATTGAGCTAATCAAGACAGGAATTACAGAATTCCCTGCTAAGAGGCCCATTATGTTGTAAGTGTTTGAAATGCATATTTCTGAGCCAACATAGCTACCAAATCAAAAGGGAGGTACATTGTCATAAACCATGCTTTTACTTTCTGGGCTCGAAGCCGTGCTCTGCCTTTCTAAACCCATAATCCTCTGGTGTAATTTGTTCTGCTAGAAGGCATCCCTTCTCTCTTTATATGGAAACATCAGCGAAGAGGTTTTCCTAGCCAGAGGGTTGGTCAGTCACAGACCTGAAGTCCTGATGCTTGGTTTGAACCTTCTGGGTGCTTATTAAAATTCCTGCATCTGCTAAAATGACTTCCTGTCTCACTGTTTATTACGTCCCTGGGCAGTGATGGATTTGCAACAAGATATACAACTTTCGAGATTGACAGACAGAAGCAGTAATTTTCTGTATCTCTCCTTGAAACCTTCCCGTAAAAAATCCAGTATCTGACAAAAGCAAATATGAGGACATTTTTAGAACATTCTATAAGTCACAAAAGCTACTGTTTACAACTAACTTTAAAGGAGAAGCTGTTTTGACTTTTACTGGATATGAGTTTAAATCCACTTACAGTTGAAAACTAATCAAAGTCCCCATACTTTGACTTATTTTGACTTTCTTGATTCCATTAAGGAATATGCTTTTTATTTCTCCTGAATACTCAGGCTTCATTTATTTTTTTTTTTTTAATGTTTATTTATTTCTAGGAGACAGAGAGAGAGACAGCGTGAGCAGGGGAGGGTCAGAGAGAGAGGGAGTCACAGACTGAAACAGGCTCCAGGCTCTGAGCTGGCAGTCAGCACAGAGCCTGACGCGGGGCTCGAACCCACGAACCGTGAGATCATGACCTAAGCGAAAGTCGGACGCTTAACCAACTAAGCCACCCAGGCACCCCACTCAGGCTTCATTTAAAAAAATCAATAAAGCTGTACATGTTTGGCTTAATTTAAAAATCTCCCTTCTCACCCCTAAACTAATAGTGCCTGCTCACTATGCAGGGCTTGGAAGAGAGCATTGCTCTCCATCTTTTATCCTTATCAAACATTCAAACTTCACTAGGAATATATTTGGTCTAATCCCCTAAAGGAAGTTTGCCTTAGAGATGATTACCTCATCAACGAGGAAGCGGATTTTTTCCACAAAGATTTCGGCTTCATGGATCATTTCATCAAGAGATAATTTTTTCTTCTGCTGCTGAATGATTGCCTTGGCCTCCTTGGCCATTGCTTCCTGAAACAAGACAAGAGTCCATGTAGATTTTTCTAGCCATTTGGACACCATTTGCTGGTGAATCCTGAAGGTGCTTGTTAAGTTCCACACCGAGCCATTCATGGAGCTGTTTCAGGGTCTGCCAGTGTGCACACTGTTCATTTAACAGAAATTTCATAGACATATGGTGGCCAATGAATATCATCTCACCTTTGTTTGATAGATAAGAAGCCAAGGCCTGGAAAAGTCAGAGATTTGTCAAGGTCCAATAGCTCTGTGAGTCAGGGCCTAAATCCAGGAACTAAAATGTATTGAGTTCTTACTCTGCCAGGCAAAGCTCTACCTGCTGAATTACTCCTCATTGCTTCTCACAGCAGGCTCCCGGGGCGGGTACAATTGCCAAGAGAGCAATGCAGGACCGGAAGGCCAAGCTAGAGCCGGGCCCCGCTGAGTCCAGAACCCACGTCCTTAGTCAACGCCCTTACTTCTTCTTCCAGATGCTTGAGGGATGCTTCCAGACCAACCTGGTGTCACTTGAGAAACACTGCCACTCAGTCTGAGTGTTTGGAATATCCAAGTGTTTATTTGGATTCATTCACTCAGCTGCATTTTTGTGCAGAGGAAACACCCAAACATTTATAGTGATTTCTGGCACCCTGCGTGAGTGGGTCTTGCCTACTCTCTGCTTCATCTCGCATTGCTTTGCTTCATACTCTGGGGCCCAGGCACACTGGTCCTCACGAAGGCCCCAAACATGCCACGCTCAGTCCGTCCTCAAGGCCAGTGGGCTTTCCTCTTGTTCAGATGCTCTTCCTGGACACTGCGTGGCTCGTTCCTTCCCAAGCCTCAGCTCCAATGTCACCATTGCATCATGTCCCCCACATTTTCTGATCACCATGGCCTTACAAAGTTTCCTTCATAACCATAACCTGTAATCATTTTGTTTATTTGTTGTTTACCTTTCAATCTTCTGTCTTCTCCACTGAAATATAAACTTCACTAGGACAGGGACATCCTCTGGTTTGTTCTTACTTTGTTCTTACTTTGTTCTCAGTGTCTGGCAGAGTTCCTGACACATAGCTAGTGTTAAATGAATGTTTGCAGAATGAATAAGCCAATCAATTAATAAATTCCTCAGGGGCTAGTACCAAGTACTTGCAGCTCTGTGTTCCCAGCACCTAGCATAGAGTCTGGCACATAGGAAGCCTTCAGTAAGTGCTGGCCAGGAGGACTGAATACTTGATGTGTACTAGGTACTATCCTAGGAGCTAAGGCCCAGGACAGAGGAAGACACAGGCTTCCTTCCCTGAGACTTTGACAGTCTGGTGAGCTAAAAGTGATGTATGTGCAAAACATCAGGGGACCAGAGAGAGGCAGAGCTAGGCTTTATAGATGACATGACATTTGAGCTGGGTCTTTAAAAAGGAATGGAATTCATCAGGTGATAAGAAGAGAAAGGAAAGTCCAGGTAGAGAAACCAATTGCAGACAGAAGGTATGTATGACTGACAGATGCCAGTGATTTTTGAAGCAATGGTGATCTAATCAGGTTTGTGTTTTAGAAGGACCATTCTGCTTGTGGTATGGAAGATGGGCTGGAGGAAGCCATAGTCTGGGCCTAGTGGGTGCTAAGGAAATTGGTGTAGGCAGAGATTCTGGGGATGAAGAAGTGGAACAAGTTCCAGAGTCTTTAAGGGGAGGAATCAACAGGGCCTATGGTCTAACTGACTATTGAGGGTTAGGAATAAAGATTTAAAGTTGAGTCTAGGCTTCTGGTCGGAGCAACAAGTATAGCTGATGGCGCTAATAGAGGATGTGGAACAAAGTTACATTGGAACCTGAGGGGTTTCATAGGGTGGGTTGAGTTGGAGGTGCTGTGAGACAGGTAGATGATGTGTCCACTGGGAGGGTGGAAATACAGGTCCAGAGATGAGAAGGGAGAGCTGGGCCGCCACAAGATATTGAATGCATGGACTGGTTCAGGCCAAGGACTGCTGGAGGTTGAGAAAGCTCTTTATTTCTCAATGTAGAGCTCTGTGGGCAATATGCAGTAGATGACATTGCAGAGACAGGGAAAGGCAGCTGGAGGTGCTAAAGAAGAAATGGGGTAGGAAGATCTATATAGTGAAAATCTGGCCTCCCTTGGAATACAGAGGAGGAGTACATAAACCCTTGTTTATTATTCTGGGAAGAAAGGTGAGCCTGTTTAGAGATGTGGGTTTTAGTGTCTAGACTATGATTAATTAGCTGTGACCTTTAAAAAAATCCTTTAATCTCGCTGAGCCCACTCACATCTTCAAAATGCCCCTGACCAGTCAAACACGGAGTCATTTTTCTTTGAAGAATTATCATGGCCTCATACAAAACATCCCGTGGTGCTGCTGTTGGAGCTGAAGTTTCGAGGTGAGATAAGCCAGGGTCTGAGCTGGTCTGGCAGCTCTCAACCATCACTCATTCGATAAGAACAGAGGATCTGTGAGGCACGCAGAGCTGTGCGGGTTCTCCAGGACACAGAGAGGGATCGGCTCCTGCCCCACTGTCAAGAAAGCTTACAACTCTTCACAATTCTTAATGGAAAGAAACCGAGGAGGCGAATAACAGTTTGGTTTTTTTTCTTTTTTGGTCTCTCCATTTGTGAGGCAAAAAGAGTCTATGCCTTTGACAAAATATAAATGTCGAGAAAATGGTCAAGGAGGAAATCCATCAGAATAGGATATAGGACTGATGGGTTTCTAGATCATTCTTATAAACATTCAATAAATGCTCATTCCTTTCCAACTTACCCATATATTCACTTCTCACTCATGCTTCTACATCACGCAGATGTATAACCTTTAGAACCTTATCCTCATCTGGCCTGTGACCTATGCTCATCTGTGAGGTTTATTTTTAAAGCACATGTTTTAATTCTGTTCAAAGTATAAATAGATTTTCACATACCAGCTCCTGCCAATAGAGCGTAAGTCGTTTCTTATCTAAAGTGGTTTGGTTCAACATCTTGGGCTTCTTTTCTGCTTCAGAGATAAAGGCACTGTAAGAGAATAACAATTTGAAACCTACTTAGTGAAAATCCATTTACGTACTTCCAGAGATTTGCAAATACACTTTCTGCAACACAATGAGAAAGTGGATGAAGCCACAGAACCAAGATTTCTCATTTCGAATTAAGCAATGATGGGGGTGCCTGGTGGCTCAGTCAGTTAAGTGTCTGACTTTGGCTCAGGTCATGATCTCACTGTTGAGGAGTTTGAGCCCTGCATCAGGCCTGCCTCTCTGCTACCAGTGAAGAAGGAACCTGCTTCAGATCTCTCCCCTTCTCTCTGCCCCTCCCCTACTCACTCTCTCTCTATCTCAAAGACAAATAAACATTAAAAAAAAAAAAAGAATTAAGCAATGGTGCACTAATTTTTCTAAGAGCCAAAGTGAGGATTGGAAATGATGCCCAGACCCCACATTAGTTTGGGGGAATAGATGCTTGTTTTCCTATTTTCTTTCACATACATATCTATTGTGATTGCTATCTAAGGTCATAACGACAAACATAAAATAATGCAGTTTTCCATCATCTTACACATTTAGCACACATCAAGAGTCTCCTGAAAAGTTGTATGTAAAAAATATTTTAGAGTCAATACTGGGAGATGTCCTTGCATGTTAAAAACTCTACCAACGATTGAGTAGTAACACTTGGAGGCATGATGTTAAAAACGTGTTCAAATCAGGATATCTGGGTGGCTGAGTTGGTTAAGCATCCGACTTTGGCTCAGGTCATGATGTCACAGTTTGTGAGTTTGAATCCAGTGTTGGACTCTATGCTGACAGCTCAGAGCCTAAAGTCTGCTTTGGATTCTGTGTCTCCCTACCTCTCTGCCCATCCCCCACTCACACTCCGTCTGTTTCTCTCTCTCTCAAAATAAATATTTAAAAAATTTTTTCTTAAATAAGTTCAAATCATGTTTTCAGTCATATGTGGAATTTGAGAAACTTAACAGAAGACCATGGGGGAAGGGTAGGGGAGAAAATGACTTCAAACAGAGAGGGAGGCAAACCATAGGAGACTCTTAAATACAGAGAACAAACTGAGGGTTAATGGGAGGGGGTGGAAGAGAGGAGAAAATGAGTAATGGGCATTGAGGAGGGCACTTGTCGGTGAACACTGGTGTGTTGTATGTAAACGATGAATCATGGGAATCTACTCCCAAAGCCAAGGGCACACTGTATACACTGTATGTTAGCCAACTTGATAATAAATTATATTAAAATAATAATAATAATAATAAATAAAAGAAAATGGTAGAGGTTATGAATGCAATTGAAGAAGAAATATAAATGGCTTTAAAACATGGGGAAATAAGATAGTGCCCTCATTAGTGAAAATTTAAATGCAAATTAAAATCAATGCAATTTTCACCTATTACCAGTTGGATAATATTCAAGGTCAGTGGGGAAATAGTCACTCTCCTTCACTAATTGTTTAAGAGACAATTTGACAGCACTTGCCAAAAATTAAATGTCTACATAATTTGATCCAAAAAATAAGCTAGAATTCTGTCCTTCAAAAACAACTGAAAATTTTTGCAAGAAGATGTTTATACAGTAATGCTTATCACAGCATTGTTTATACTAGCAAAATAAGTAACAACAACTAGTATATCAGAGACAAGTTAAATACGCGATACGTATCACACAATTAAATACTGAGGACTACTATGTACTACTGTAGGAAGATTCTAGTGCTAGTTTGTGGAGTGAAAGAGCAACCTGTTGAACAACACGTGTTAACATTTGTGGAAAAATACAGTGTTTCATGAATGTGTGGGTTTGCAAATGCACAGGAAAAAAAATCCAGGAGGACAGATCAAACTTGTCTCTGCTGAATGGGACTGGAGAGAGAACTGAGAACACTTTTTCTTTATATATTCCTACGGTTTCTTGGTTAGATGAGCATCTAATACTGCTCATCTAACCAGAAAAGTCAATGACAAAGGAAACAAAAAGGGGAAGAAGCCACACTTCCCGGTGAGGGGCCCTATGTCAGAGCTGGAAACCTCACCAGCAATTCTCTTCGGACATACTAGTCAAGTCAAATTTTCTCTTCATTTCTATTTATTAATTTCTTAATTAAAAATTTTTTTACTGTTTATCTTTGAGAAAGAGAGAGAGAGACAGAGTGTGAATGGGGGGGGGGGGAGCAGAGAGAGAGGGAGACACAGAATTGGAAGCAGGCTCCAGGCTCCAAGCTGTCAGCACAGAGCCTGACGTGGGGCCCAAACCCATGAACCACGAGATCCTCATGTGAGCCGAAGTCAGAGGCTTAACTGACTGAGCCACCCAGGCGCCCCATTTTCTCTTGATTTTAAAAAAGAAGATTGGGGCGCCTGGGTGGCTTAGTCGGTTAAGCATCCAACTTTCGCTTAGGTCATGATCTCGCGGTTCGTGGGTTCGAGCCCCACGTCGGGCTCTGTGCTGGCTGCCAGCTCAGAGCCTGGAGCCTGTTTCAGTCTGTGACTCCCTCTCTCTCTGACCCTCCCC